GGATAGCTTGAAAGATGTAATTTTTCTAACAAATCGTAGGAGAAATCATAAAAGTTAATTGATTCCAGGCAAATTTTCAGATGTATCTTATTCTAATTTAAATCCCACTGTAACTTTTTGGACTGTGCATACTCGTATTATTAGATGGATTTACGGAAGAGCATTGGGGTACTTATGCTAAAGAATCTTGGAATTTATTGAAGTTTAGTTGAAGGTGAAAGCATTCCTATGTATTCGAATATGTCTCTCTGTTTATCAGAGTATTACGGGGATGGGGAAAATATAAACGGAATATAAGAGCTCATTCTATGCCAAGTTTTTTCAGTCTACGTATATTTTCATAGGTAAATAAAAAAATAAGACAAGGAATAAATTATTGTTTTGAACTGTTTCTATTCATACAATCAATCGCTGAGTAACTATTGGTCGAAACCTTCCCAAAGGGGCGCGACTAATTCGTGGCCACTTATTCGTTTCTTTGGTTTTTACGAGTTCATCAAAGTTGTGGTTGGTTTTTAAAGACTTTGGGCCATGTGACAGGGATAAACAAGGTCATAAAATAAAAATGCGTCGCCTCATAAAATGCGGGGCAAAGATTGCCGCAAAATGCGGCACAGATTCGGCGGCGTGCGAGAGAGAGCAGCTGCTGCAGCAGTAACCAAGAAGCAGCAGAAGGTAGGAGGCAGCAGGAGTGAAGTACAATGCCCAGCAGTGTCTGCAATTTATTATGCATACGCCCTGTAGTGCATATTTGTAGCGTGATAAAATCAGTTAATAGTCGCATGAATAAAACATCGCCAAAAGCCCAACGCCAAACGCAGAACGCATGCTCCCGCCGTGGCAGGTGCGAAGCCCCAAAACCGGAAACTCTTAGCCGTATCGTTTCCGCCGTACGGAACGAGATGGTGATTGCTGGAGCCGTTGTTTGGTAGCTAATAAAAATTGCTAAACGCACTGCCACCAGCAGCCGCACCGACCGACCGACGGACAGACAGACAGTGTATTCTTTTCACAATCAGTTTGACGGCAGAAACTAATTTACTTGTCACTTTTAATTATTGTCTGCTATTAAGCGAAGCGTAAACCCCTCCCCTCACAAGTCCATGTAAATCTAATAGAATACACCAAAGGAGTGCGGAGAGGGAGTGGGAGAGCCGCCATAGAAGACATCTGTGGGTGCGCCCTGCGGCCTGTGGGAGGTGGGTTGATGCTGCTGCTGCTGTTGGGTCCTTCGCCCTCCGGATAGTGGCATATTATTAGATCGTATAAATTCATGTCAGTCTACTTTCGGTTTAATTAACTTTCATGTTTGTATTACCCTATCCGTTTGTGTGTTTGTGTGTGTGTGTCTGTGCGTTGTGCGTAGGTCAGTGTAAAATGGCTTTGTTACTGCAGCTTGTTGCTGTGTTGTAATTGTTATTATGCCACACTAATGACCAAAAAGAGAGAGAGAGAGAGAGGTACATCGTCATAGCCATAGTCATAGCACGCTTCTGTGGTCAGTGGCTGTCGTTGGGTATGTCCGGCATGTCGCCATGGAATTGCCCCAAAACCTAATTGTCCTGTACCCACAACGGGCAACCAAGCACACTCGGTCAATTAATTTTGTGTACGAGCATAGAAATGAAGTTAAATTTTGAAATTGTTTAGCTAACAAACCAAAACGCCTACAGCCAAAGTACATGTATGTATGAACGCATAATTTATTTTACTTCATATTTGAGTTGGAACCAAAACAATCAGTACATAAGTAGGTACCTAAATACATATGTAGTACAATGAAGAAAGGAAAGATTCTGTTGTTAGTATAAATATTATAAGTTCTTAAACATAAAATGGACTCCAAATCGACTTTTAAAACTCCAAAATAACAGCAAGAGAAACCACAGGCATATCTTAAAAATCAAGTAAATGGAACTCTGCTCTCAAGGGCACACCGTAATGTATTCCCAAAATATCAGACTTGACTTGTTTTTATAGGCAGAAGCGGAAACGGAAATGATTTGTTGTTCTTTGCGGCTGCTGCTGTGGTTGTGCGTACAAATGTAATGACTGCTCGACAGGGCTTTCAGTTTTGATTTCCGCACTCTACTTACATTGTGTTTTATGTGTGTATGTGTGTATAAAGTATGTTTTTTTTTTGTGTGGAGCAGCCATAAAATATTCACATCAATTCAGCAGCAGAAGCCGCAGAATTAAAAACCCAAACAATCAAGCAGCACGGCACTCGAATTTTTCCAGCAAAACATATCTATATCTGCATCCATTCATCCATATACTCGTATTATTTTATTGAAACAAGAACTTTTGTTGTTGTTGTATTATTTCACCTGTGAAACCTGTAGGTCGGATGCTGGGATGGCTGGCAAATAAATAGCTGGTGCATTGATGCAGGCCATTAGCCATCGCGAATGGAATTGGAAACGCACACGGCCATACGACCGTTTATCCGGATGTAAAGCTATTTCAGCCCACAGATTTTCTGGCCCTCCACCCCCCTGCCCCCTTGACCACACCGTCACTGAATAAACACAAATGCTGCTGCTGCTGAAGCTGCTGCTGTTGGTGCGTGTGTGTAACGGAAAGCAAACAGCATAGGAAAAACATAGAAAGCAAACAAACGGCGAATGGGAATGGGAAATTGTGTTGCCAGGCTACCACCACCAGCACCACCATTCATCCATCTGTATGCCACAGAGGAAAACAAGCTCTGTGTATGTGTGTATGTATGTGTGGCTGTGTGCATGCAACTCAAGTGCCGCAGCTCACATTTTATCCTGCATACTTGCTGGGGCGTTATTTATAAAGAAGCGGCGGAATCAACTGCGACAGGGCGACAGGGCAAGTGCTTTCGCTCCGCTTTGCTTTTGCTGTTGCTGTTGCTTTCCCTTTGGTTTCGGTTTTGCTTTCGCTGTTGCTTCTCCTGCTGCTGCTGCTGTTGCTGGTGTGGCTGCTGCTGGTGCCACTTTTGTCGGATGACCTTACGATTTAGCCTTGCTATTAATTTTAGTGCATTTGTGAGTACTTTGCTAATTGAACAAATATTTATTAAATGCTTGCTCAAGTATTAGTTTTCATTAGGGCCAGCCGTGTGGGCGAGGCAAATTAATTGTTTACCTTGAAGGCTATATAATAATTTAAGACAAAAACCACACAACAGAATATATAAAGTTTATATTATAAACCCAAATCGAAGTATCCATATAGTCCTGCTTTATAGATTCCCGCCCTCCTTATGATCAGCCATATATCGCCCATTGCTGTGTCATCGCCATTAAATAAGCAGACAGTAATCAGTGTTGACTAACGTCGCTACGTAGAAACAATAAACGGAAAAGATAAAGGAAACTTTGGCGACAGGACACAGGGAGTTCATGTGTGGAATAAAAATTGCCAACTAATTAAATACACCTGATATATGTGCGTCACGTTCGCTACGTTCGTCTGGCTCTCGGGTCAGAGGTCACCTGCTGCCGCTGCTGCTGATGCTGCTCTTCTTAATGTGCAAATAAAATTGCGTTTATGTTCTTGCTGTGCATACTAATTGCTGCAGCAGGAGAGAGGTAGAGCCATGTCCAGCCGCCACATGATGCTACCTTTCAACGCGAAAGCTCATCGCCACCGCGACTGCTTGGCATAATTGCCCCGTTTTGGAACGCGCTTTTCAAATGCCAACCACCACCACGTCCACCCAACAGCATGCCAACCCCCCATTGGGGCTTTGGGTGAAGGCGCAACAAGCGTGAAAGTCAAATCAGCTGCCAAACGGCCTCGTACTCGTATTCGTACTCGTACTCGACTCGTCCTGGTCTAAAACCCTCAACCAGAAGACATATTCTCTTCCTCCACCCACGGAAAGCCCATTTACATGCCCGTCGAAGTGCAGAACTCCACGAGTGTGACATTGACAGAGAGACCCACTTCTGCCAACCGGCTGGCTGGCTGGCTGGCTGGCTGGCTGACTGACTGACTGGCTGGCTGTCCTTGCTCCGACTCCCGCGCGGCCCCTTGCCACAACAAACTGTTGCTTCTCAGCTGTTCTTGGCCTGGAGGCGCCCCTCTTCTTGGCACCTGCGCACTGGCCACCGTCACCTCTTTTTAGTACATGTACGAGAGTGCGGCGTGGCTGTCTGGGATTAAAACTGGGGGTTGGGACTAGGACTGCTACTGGGGCTACTTCTGTGTCGGTGTCGGGATTCGGGACTTCCCCTCTTTGCGCAACAGTTTGGGGCAATTTTTATGTTTGATTGGGACTTTTGCTAGCTGTTGCTTCGCGGCGGCACGCGTCGCGTCGCATCGCATCGCCTCGCGCCGGAGTGGAGTCAGGCACGGCACTCAGTCTGTTTGGGGACTTCACGGCGTGCGAACGTGCGAGAATTGTGAACGCGAGGATTCAGCATCAGCTTCAGTGGGAAATCGACAAAACGGCCCAAAAGGCATATCGCAACGGTCAGCAAATACAAATACACATACACGCACAGGAGAGAGAAGTTTCAGGTATAATACACACATATGAATGCTGTACAGTGTATACACCTGTATATGCCACACATACACCAGAATCGAGAATCGAGCATAAAGTGAAGCAGCAATGGAGGAGTGCTGCATATTATACGCGTTTAATTATTGCGAAAGTGTCATCGTCGTCGTCGTCGTCGCAGTGCCGCTGCCTTTTCTTTGTGACGATCCCAAAAAACGGGGCGACTGCCTTGCCATTCAGATTCGCCTAAGCGTTAACCGTTAAATGTGCTGTTAATTTATACTACACAAATATATGTGAATGTATTTCACAGCATTTCAATCCGAATTTCATTAATTTTTTTTTAATAAAAATAATTTTTAATTTTCGCTCAAATTCGTGGCACAAAAATCTCTTCAAAAATCAAGCAGCATAAATTTCTGGCAACTTTTATTTGTGAAATTCCGAAAACTTTTTCGAAACTTTCGACCGTGTTTTATGTCATTCCTAAAAGAGAGAATGTATTTTTTATATGCCACAGCTCGGTGTCGGTCTCGGTCTTGGTCTCGGTTTGGATTGTGATCCGTGTGGTTGGTGAGCTGGTGTGTGGCATATTCCTGGCCATTTCAGGTGAGTAAACCAATCTCGAGTGCCACTGAAAACTGAGAGCCGTATTCAAAACGTTTCAACGTTGCTGAAAGCTTTCCGCCCCTGGCTTTTGTCTTTTGATTTCGACTGTCAAAATGCATTAAACACTCACATATACACTCGGCCATAAAGGCAACTAATTAAAAAGTACATCACTTGGCAGGAGTTTTGCTGGATTTTGCGGATTTTGGTTGGAGGGACTGGAAACATCATCATAAAGATGGCTCTCTCTGTTAATTAATAAGTGATTATGTGGGGGACAATGTCGAGGACAGATGTTTGATGGACTTTATTATTTTTTCATTTGCGAAGGGCAGATTCCATGACCTTGCGGAAGGATTTAAAGTTGAAGTTATTTAAGATTTGTGGCTTAAGAAAATTGTTCTGGAATAAGAAATATTTAATGAGTTAATTTTTCCTTTCCGTAAAATTTGCTTATGATTTATTTCACACGAATAAAGTTCTCTCGAGTATGGCATAAAATGTGAATAATAGCAAAGGAAAATTCTTAAAAGTCTCAAGCTTTCCGCCCTGTTAAGCATTAGCTTTAACTAATCCCTCTCTGACAACATTTTAATTTGCCTGCTTTAAGGGTGCAAAACAATATATACCGAGAATAGGGCTTTAAAGTGCTTGTTTTTTTTTGCTTACTTTAAATTTAAATATATGCTCAATAAATTCCACATAAAAGCATGGACAAATAGTCGTCGGATTACAATTGGTTTTAATTCCATTAATTAAGAGAATATATTTCTCCCATTTTTCATATGAATCCATTATATTTTCTGGTCATGAATAAATTGCATTCGATATAGGTATATAATATATATACATATACATATATACATTCAATTGATGCCGCATGTATGTATATTTTTGAGAAGGGAATATGACATTTGTATTATACATAGATACACAATAGAACTGCTGCCCATTGATATCATATTATTATTTTTGTAAGAAAGAACATAACAAAAGAATTGTGAATCAAAGTAGGAAATTGAATCGAATTGAATGGAAATTTTTTTTTTAACTTTTGACTTCTGACATGAACAGTTCTTCTAACGATGTCGATGCAAAAATATGTCTTAAATTCTGGTTATTAAAGCAGAAAAACAACCCACTAGCTAATGCCAATGCTGCGACTAGGAAAATAAAAAATTTTCGCGTTTAATTATTCGCTAAAAAAAGGGGTCTTTTGATAGTTTAAGCATCCTTCAAAAATAACAACGTACAATGGAAGATTTAGGTCAACGCACAAGGGGGTGCTGTTATTATTATGCAACTCAATAAGCGTGACAAAGGAAAAACAATATGATGGAAAGTGTTATGCACTTCCACCCACAGCTGCCCTCTCAATGCAATATTTTTTGCATCAGCCTCTCGGCGGGCATCTCGGGCATAAAATTTCTCCTCAAACTTATGCAAATTTCTGGCTTATAATTTTGCCTGAAACGTGAATCAAAAGTTATAAGTAGAAGCGAACTCGAAAAGCGATGGAGTCCGTGAGCAGGGCGGCAGGAGCAGCAGGAGTGAAACTTGAGCATGTTGCCAATTTTAAGTGATTTTAAATAACTGCTGCAGCAACAGGATACTTAAATTATGTTTTATTTTTAGACACAATTGTTGAACAGAAAGAATACGAAAAGAAAAACCTGCATAATGACATAATTTGTAATGTCTTTTGCTCTGAAAAACAGCGCCATGGAAGTCCTCAAAGTTCTCGGTTCTGCAATTTAAAATAATTTCTACTTTTGCCCCCTAAATGCCATTAAGAATTAAGTCATTCAAGGTATTGTTGTCCTGAGGACTGGGGGTTGCAGGAGTGGAGGAAAACTTTTAGCATTCAGTGTGTGTGTGTGTGTAAATGTACACTACTTCTTTGGGTGTTGTTTGTGCGGGGAGGGAGAGGACTGCAGGCTTTTGTTTGCTGTTATTTTTTTGTTTCCTCCTGCTGTTCTCTTCGTGGCTTGTGTCTGGTATTTGTTGGCGACTGTCTGTGTGTGTATGTGTGTCTGTTTTTTTATTACTGCATTTATGCACATAATTGAGTGCTGTCAGAGTTGACGAAGACAACACACACACACACACACACACACACACATATTTTGTAGCGTATTTTTTGGACTTTTTTCACATCTGGGCTTATGGTTTTTATAACGTTCTTTCTATCAGCAAGTTGGCAGAGAATAAAATACCTCGAATGCTCATGTTATAAACTGCAAACAATTTGAAAGATTCCTAGCCTGATGAAAGGTTTTAGTCACAGGCGTGAAGAAAGTTTTTAAAGGGACATTGGGAGAAAAAGACTGGCAAGTGTGATTCCAAGGGCTGATTCTTAAATTTTCAGTCAAGTTTTGCATCATGCTAGCTAGGTGATAAATTGAAGTGCTCGTCTGGAGGCTAGTTAGGCTGTCAGTTAACATTTAACTGGCAATTAAGACAATGTAGTGCCTAGTGCCTGCTTTGACAGCAAGTAAAAGCCTTTATTAGGTTTTTAACCATAACCTCCTGCAAGAGCACACAAACACAAACAGCATGTGTATGCCCTTTGAATGTGGACGTATAGGAGCTACAGTAACTGCTCCTACTTGTCAATAACACAATTTTTTCTAACAATTTCGCTCAATTAGTTTTCGACACACACACTCCCGCAGAAATATAAATATTTACCAAACATTTTCGCCTTGCATGATTTCCATTTTATTGTCCCTGGGCGGGCTGCATTTTTGAAATTCATAATTTTCCTGGAAATTTGCCATTGATTCTCCGCTCCACTCGACGCTTTTTCCTCTGCTCTGTGCCCACAATATTAATCAGGCTGCCTTCTCTATTGGGGGTGCGGGTTGGGAGCGAAAATTGAATATCAAAAATTGTTCTGGCAGTTGCACTAGCACTCCCACAAACATATTTCGACTGCTTTGAATTCATGAAATGTTTTGCGGCTTTCTCTACATTTTTTTGTTGGCCCAATTTAGTTTGCGAAAATTATGAACTGTGGTTGGGGTTTGCCACTAGTCGGAAAATTGCATTGCAATTGGCAGGAAAACAATGTCTCTTTAGGCTCGCACCGACCATGAATGTTGTTGTTGTATTGGGGCTTGGAGTTGTGGGTTTTGTGTGTGTTTTGTCGAGTTTATTGAGTTTGGGGAATACGTTTCAGTTCTATGGCATGTCAGAGAGTTTATAGGAGACTGAAGTTCTTCCCAATCTAAAGTATTCAGAACTTTTTTGTTAACATTTTATATTCTTTTAAATCACATTATTTACTATGTAACTGCGAATATCGTGCTATAATAAATGTTGCTATTTTATATAACAAATTTAGAATTTAAGGTGCATTTTCTCTTTTATTACCATTCGAATCGATGGAGCAACAAAAACAAATATTACCTTACAAATATATTAATACATTTTAGACATTAACTTCCATTGAAAATCAAATCCCTTCTGAGTCAAAGCTTTATTTAATTAAATCGACGCAAAAGCCGTGCAAAAGCATTCTCCTATGGCTAATCTCCGCATTGAATGTCGACTACAATAATATTAATTTTGATTCGAAATGAAGGCGATTGTTGGCATATGCTGGGGCCATGGCATATTAAAATTCATGTTGCGTGTGCACTAATAAGCAATCAAATTCAATTTCCATCCAGAATGGCAGCTGCAGGAGCGTATTTCGCGTTGTCTTAACTCTGTGTGAACAGGCGCTTCGCCCACTCTTCGACAGCTCGTTCTAGACAGCAGGGTTTGGGCTGCTGCTGCTTAAGCTGTTAAATACCGGAATGGAGCCGCATTATTGAAAACTGATTACTCAGGACTCTAACAGGCTGGCAGTCCAGTCACTGTCCCAGACCCGCCAACGGCCCCCAAACAAACAAACATATTAACGCAGTGAGGCCTGACTTCGACGCATATTGGCCGTAGCAATTAAGCCGCCTAGCCAAACATGGCAACATATTGTGCTCACGCACGCGGAAGAATAACAAAAGCAGCCAAAACAGCAGAGAAATCGCCTCTCAGTGGCAACTCTTCCCCGAAATAAAACTAATTGCCCATTCTTCTTAATGCGAATGGATACCCCGGTAGAACGGGTACGAATCCGAGACCATCTTTGCTATCTTCAGTGCGAAAATTTGTTTGCCATGGGAAAGGTACCACAGCCAGAGTGGAGACCACAACTTCCTTCCCATTAGAAAGGGTTAGAAGTGGGTATCTAATAGTCTTAAGGGTCTATTTTCGCTCTTTAATTTGGCAATGCTCAGGGTATAGATACAAAGCGTCTAATTAGTGCTTCGAGTGCCTGTGGCTGTTCTGAAATGAGCTTCACAACTTGTTTCGGGCTCTGAGGCAACAGTTTACAGTTCTTGGCGGCCTCTTGTATACAATAATTATGCCACAATTGTGTTGCTGCTTTTGCTGCTTCTGTTGCTGCTGCTGTGGAAGTTGCAGTTAGCCACAATTCAATTACAATCGCTCGTCTGCAACACTTAAGCAAATGCTTAAGCAGCTTTTGTTTCGATCTCCTTCTCGCACGCCCTCACGACAGACACGAAACTTAGCCCCGCACACAGCACACACACACAAACACACTTCCATTAAATTTTCAAGTGGATACTATGGAGGATAACTAAACAAATTACGCAAAAGATTTAATTAAGCAGCCCGTAATGCCTCAATGACAGGAGCAGCAGCAGCAGCAGCAGCAGCCGCAGTAGCCAGCAGGAAGGGGACTCAGAAGACGCAGCAGCAGAAGCAACAGCTCTGCTCCCTGGGCACGTTTCACGTGCCGTATACGTAATATGCAAATGTGCGCACTTGGCTCGAGGGCACCCACCCAGCAGGGGGAGGGGAGGTGGTGGTGAACGGAGATGAGACCATCAAGACCCATGACAGGGCAGGAGTATTGAACTCAGCCCCTTTAAGGGTGTTACGTGGGTAGAGAGAGAGATAGACAGAGCAGTCCTCTCAGTTGTATAAGATTATTAGGACATTTCGGAGCAGAGAGAAACCACCTGCCGAGGCGTAATTAGCAGGTAAGCAGCAGCTAAAGTTGCAACTTGCAACAGAGGGCACTCTCGAAAGTATGCTATGGAAATGCAGCTGCTCGAAGGCTTCCGGGGAACGAAAATTTATCCATGCTGATGGCAGTCCATGGAATGCGCAGCGGAGGGAGTAGCAGCCGGACGCTTGAAAGTATGCTATGGAAATTTGTCCAGTTATCACAGTGCTTTCCAGCAGAGATGACTGGCCGAAGAGAGTGTCATACATACATATCTCTGTGTGTGTTTCGTGTCACGCAAGCAGCACACATCTGTGGCACTGGCTTTTGTCCCTTTCTCCCTCTCTCTCTCTCTATCTCTCGGACGAGTCGGACAATAAACGAGGCAAATGCAAACAAAAGATGGGGCACAGTCACAGTGGCCCTAACTGCCGCACACACACACACATAACCCATGCTGTCATGTCATGTGTGTGTGTCTATGGCTAAAGGGACCATCATATCATTTTTTTCTAATTGAGACATCTGTGTGCCTGTGTGTGCCTGTGTTTGTTTTGGCCACTGTGCCTGTTTGTCTGTCTTTCTCGCTGTGCATCTGGGTGTGTGTGTTTGTCTTCAATCAGCGCTTTGCTTGGCAACATGCTGCCACTGCCACTGCCACTGTTGCTGTTGCTTCCTTTGTTCTGCCTTTTGTGCCTGACTTTGTGCTAAAAATATTTAACGCTCAGCAGAACCTTAAATGCGCACAAATACACTCACGCACATACACATATACATACATATTTTGTCAAAAATATAACATTCAACAACAACAACAACACACACAAATCTCTCTGCTTCTTAGTGGCCAAAAATAATTCTCGCGCACTGTGCCATTCACCATATTTCCTTTCCTTTCGTTTCGTTCGCGTCTTCTTTTTCTAGATATACTACAGAGGGTATTTACGATTTTGAATAGATGTTTGTTCTGTTGCAAGCGCCAAATTTTTGTCAAAATAATTACATGAATTTGTACAGTTTCGATTAAAGATGGAATCATTTGGGTTATTCACCAGCAATGAAATATTAATCAAAATAAATGCACCATAGCACCATGCTACCATCGAAAGGGTATCCAAAGTTTATGCCCCGATATATTTATATGTTTGCAATGGTGTTTGTATTTGTGTTTACGAAACGCTTTTATCATTTAATTTTGGATGCTTTAGTCCGTGCCCCAAATCCCCCCTCCGTGCCCGCGACCGCGTCCGCATTCGCGTCTACGTCCGGGTTCGTGCTCATGTCGCAATCAATAAAACCGGCCCGTGCCACATGTCCACGTATACCAGCCACGAGCTGCTCGCATTAACAGCTTTCCATTCTCTAAGCCACCCCTCCCCTCCGTCCACCGTCCACCCGCTCTTAGGTGCGCGAGCGAGCCTTTATAAAATTTAAATTGAAATTAACAGCGATTTTGTTCGCTAACTTTGTCAATGAGATTTATTAGGAACTTGATAGCAGGTCAATGGATAAGCCACTGCCATTAAAAACTCGCATTTACCGCTGATTAAAGGTGGCACTCGTACAACCGGAAAATGGATCAATACGGGCATAGCATCTTCTCTCATTTAATGTGAGTTTCATCGCATTTTATATAATCCCGAATTTTAAATGTGAATCCTCCAAAGTTGGAATAAATTAAATAAATTTCATTCTCGATACAGAAATGGACAGACAGATAGAATATATGGATTTGGAATTGTATCTACTGCTGCGATTTAATTACATTTATTCAGTTTTGATTTAATGCCTGCAGGAAAAACATACATACATACATACAAATAAATGCACATGAATGAATCTATTTTATTTGTTGTTTATTTAGTATTAATTTAATGTATGGAAAATATTGTTTTAATTCTCGTAACATGGCAAAGTCCAACTAAACAAAAGCAAACAAAATGTGTACGCACTTTTATATTTGCGCATATTTTCATTTATTGAATGATTTCGTTATTCTCACTAGTTTTTATTGAAGAAAGAACTTGCAGATTCCTGGCAAAAAATGTCCATTCGCATAAATTTTTTGTACAATTTTTTGGAGAAAGACAAGCAGCCCACTAAATGATTCAATTCAAAATAAAATTCCATGGACTTTTTTTTTGCGAGTAGATTACAAACGGAATACCATAAAACCGAATCGCATTCGTTCGCCTCGCTTAACCGCCTTAAATATTTAAGCTTGTTTGTCCTCGATTGCAAAATGCTGACCTAGAAAGTTGCCACCGCCAATCGGTATTCCGTCGTGCCCGCGTCCTATCCTACTGCTGTCCTGCTGCCATTCTGGCTGTCTGTTAGCCATCATCGGTTCGTGTCCGGTGTCGCCCATTCGTTTGTCCGTCTGTCCGTTCGTCTGCTGCCGCCGCCTCTCCACAGTTGTTACTTTGTTCCGTTTGAGTACAGACACCATTAAGCACACAATGCGGCCAAGTTTCTCGGCTCTCATATTTTATTTATTTACCATCAACACAATTTATTTAACGTAAAAATTTCACGCTACTTTGCCCAGATGCCTGGGCCTTAGCCCTGGTCCCACTTTTCTGGAAAACGGCAGAGAAAAAGCCAAAAGGTAAATGTTTTCACTAAATAGTTTTACGTTTGCTGGAAAATTTATGTACCCTCGTTTGTGCCCCCTCCCCCTCACAGCCCAGAGACTTCCTTTGACTTCAGACTGTAAGATGTCTCAAGTCGATTTGCTGGCTTTCCGATCGTTGGGTGCCTCTTGCCAAAATGTTTACTTACCTTGAATAATTCATTGCACAAAGACCGTACATATAGCCTGCGTAAACAGCAGACAGGCTCCTCCGGTGGGGATTGGGGAGTGCAGCAACGTTTATGCAGCGTGCCTCATGGCATGAACAGGGACTTTGACACATGTTTTGCAAGTCAAATAGCATCATGTTTCCATTTGGCTAATTTCCAAAATACATTTATGTATTTATGCAATTTCATTTCATAATTTTCCGCCAGATTTTTGTTTATTTGTCATAATTTTTGCTCTCTGCTGCCGCTGTTTTCAGCAATTAATAAAGAGATTATGTGTTAAGCGTATTATCATAAATTTATAAAAAGTTTTCGTCACCTCTCTTTTCAACAAACATTCCCACAGTCATCTAGACAAACAGACAGACAGAAGTCTGCATTGAATGGGACTGGAGCTGGTGGCGAACTCGTTTAACTTTTTAATTGTGCAGTTTTGTGTAAAGCAACCGAAAGAATGCCATGAAAACGAAAGTGAAAATTCAATAGAATTTTTTAGCAAGCAAATGAATCCGAAATGCTCTTTATATACAAATCTCGCTGCTAACGAATCTAATTGCTAAAACAATGCTTTGAGTGCAGTGAATTGTGGAATCGAATCGTTATTCAGATATCAATTTATTGTGAAAACTCTTTAATTGTGGGTCAGCAATCTGTGTGTTCGTTTGACTCTAGGAACTCTGCACTTCATTTGATAAACGAGATTTGGGAAAATGCCAAACATATTGTCTCTTGTGGAACGCTTAATTGGTGGGAGGTTAACAATTGTTTGAATGTGCTCAATGAAAAACCAAACTAAACGAGCAGAGATTTTTGATTTTATTTGGGTGTGGTATTCGTAAAAATATAATAAAGATAAAGTAAATACGTATATTTTTTGTTTGCCAATTAAAAAGACCTTTTATTTAAGTTTAATTTGTATAATTGTATAATTTGTATTAAAATTCTGGTATTGCGGAGGAACTCACTCAATTATCATTATTTAATATTTACACACCAATTTAATACAACAAATGAATTAACCTTTTCAAAAGCTAGCCATAAATTCACGCACATTGAATCCAAAGTATTAGGTTATTAAAAATGTACGTTAAAGTCGAATTAACCTTTTCAAATATGTCAAGCCATAAATATGTAATTAATTATTATTTGAATATCATGTTTGTTATCAAATATTTCCAGACGTGTAATTAGCTGAAAATATTCTGCTTTTGGGGTAAAGCGTGAATTATTCCACTCATTTAACTCATTTGGGCAGCAGAAGGGGTATATAAATTAAATCATTCATTATCCATATTTGATTTTGGTAAATTTAAGTTAATCTGCCACATATTTTCGACTACCCACAGATTTAAACTATTTAATCAAACTATATTGTTTATGATATAAGAGAATCAATTTCCGGCAGCATCCACACTGTTGGGGAAAATGCATCTGCATATCCTTGCTGATTCGCAGTAAATTTACCGGACTCTTGGGCTTTTGGCTTTTAGGAGGGGCGGGTGGGGGTGGATAGAAACCGAGTTTAACCCTCGCTTTGCTGGCAGTTTATGAACATATGAATGGAACACAAAACTCGGACCGAGTCGTGGCCCATAAGCGCATTAATTACCAGCGAACTGAGGGTTTGTGGTTCCTCGCTGCTGGTTTCGTTGTCGGGCCAACCGGGCGTATGAGCAATGTGAAGTGGCCGCAATTAAAGTGAAATTAAAATGTATTTCTGCTCTCATGGCCCTGCCTTTCATTGCAGCCCTGCGAACTTGAAAGAAAATCAGCGCTCCAAGGAGACGACCAAGGACCAAGAGGTAGGCCAACGAAGGAAGCCGAAACGCGACTCCTGATTGGCGGCTGGGCAGACATCCAAGACAACGGCAACAACGGCGGCCAGAATTTTCTCTCGTTTGGATAGTGTCGAGGAGGTGCAACGCGGTCGCAGTGGCAGCGCTGTCGGAATAGCACCGGCAGGTGCAGTGGCAGCGGCAGCGGTGGCAGCGGGTTCACCAGCCAGGGCTGGCCAGCAGCAGCAGTTTGGAGGCGGAGGTGTGGGCGGAGGTGTGGCTGCTGTCGGTGTGGGTCCGGAAACGATTGCGTCACGTCAGCGGAGCGCCAGCACGGTGCTCGACATAAGCCTAGCGGAGCGCAGCAAGGTCTCCTCCATCGGAGGCCCGCCCACTCCGCAGGTGGGTCTGCTCAAGCGCGGCTCTCTCTATCCTGGAGTCGGTGGTGGTGGTGGTGGCGGTGGTGTCGGTGTCTTGAATGGACTTGGCCTCGGCGATGTGATTTCAACGAAATGCGAATCATTTAATGGAGTGGGACTGGGCGTCGGCGTTGGAGTTGGAGCTGGTATCGGTAGTGTGGGCGGTGTGGGTGTGGTTGGGCCATCGGTCGCAGCCCCAAGCACGGGAATAGGAGCAGGAGCAGGAGCAGTAGCTGGACAACGCGGACGTCTATCATCTCTGTCATCATCATCATCCCCCGCAAGTGTACCAGGTGCAACCCTCGGGGATCCATCAGTAGCAGGAGGTGGGGCCGGTTCTGCCCCAACCATCGGCAGTCCGCCCGTTCAGCCGGGCCCCAAGCGGCAGGGCAGCTTCTCGAATGTGTTCTCGAAGCTAATCGATGGTATGCCCGCCGGCACAATGTTTGCCAAATTCAAGAGCACCAATGTGGCAGCAGCCACCACGTCGCAGAGCGTCGCCGAGGGCAATCCCATTACGCAGTATTTTGAGATTGGCAAACCGGTGGCCTGTGCCGGACCAGAGTTGGCCTGGCGCATACACGATGCGTACCGCAAAAGCGACAACAAGGTGAGTTTTTCCCCCGAATCCACGACCCCCTCCCACCAAAAAACCACAAAAACTGCCTGCCACAAATGGAAATATTCATCGTCTTTCTTTTGGGCCAGGAATGCTCGGTGTTTATTTTCGAGAAAAAGGTTGCGGAGAAGCTGCACAAGCCGCGTCGCAAGGAGACCATAACCGAGCTGCTAAAGAGCTCGGTGAAGACACTGGAACGCTTTCGCCATCCCAGAGTGAGTGTTCCGTTTCCCTGCCCCCCATCGATAATTACTTTTTCGAAAGTCTCTCTCTACTTTACTGGTGCTGTCTTTCTGCAGATACTCCAGATCTATCACACAGTCGAGGAGAGTGCGGACACGCTGGCCTTCGCCTCGGAGCCCATCTTTGCCAGCCTCTCCAATGTGCTGGCCTTTCACGTGAGTTTTAGTTTTCCGTTTTCAGTTTTGGGGTTTTGGACACCGACACGAACATGCAATTTGTGTGTGTGCGTGTGCCTGGATCGAGGCCTAAAGGTAGTTCTCCCTACAGCCACACCCACACCCACTTTCTCTTGTGTTTCACCGCTTAGATTGTTCTGTGTTGACTGTTGTTTCTGCTGTGGCTGTGGCTGCGGCTCTTTCCAGTGTTTTGTTAAAGTTTCTCTGCAGCCAACTCAAGTGCATAGTTTGACTTTCAGCCCATTGCTTTCTTCTCACAGAGAAGAAGGCGGAACTATTGGGTATGCATGACAAGAGCCAGCCAGCCAGCCATCCAGCCAGCCGGGAACACTCACACAACTAAATCGAATTACACTGCGTGCGTTTGCGTGTGACTGAGTATCTGTGTGAAAGTTTACGCTGCCAGGATTGAGTCAATAAAGAAAAGAGCTTCGGTCTGGGGCCGCACAGCTCTCAAGTTGATACGCTCGGACAGTGCGTTTCACTCTCACATTAAGTGTATCCAAATAATGGTAGTTATGCCAGCTATGCTTATATGTATATTGATTCGATTCAGTATAATTTTGGCTAGAAATTTCATCAGTTGATAATCAACAAATATTTACCATCAGCAAAGCTATATCCATGTACCGCACTGTAGCCGGTACAACAGCTTGCAAGTCTATTGAGGTGCACACACAAAAATGCCTGAACAGAAACCAGCAAAACAATAACCCAAAGAGCAGCAGAGAACCCTTCGAATAGTTTTGCAGTCTCAAGGAAAGTCGATTCGAGTTAAATTACATTGAAAATTGCCAGAAGGTAAAACACAGAGTACAAACAAATTGCCTCTCACAGCAACCAATGTAAAATTGGAAAAGCAATGCGAAGGTTGGAAAAACAAAGAGAGAGAGAGAGAGAGAGAGAGAGAGTGAGAGATTTGAGTGGCTTATCATCAAATGCAATGGGAATTTTTAAGTTATGATTCGAAGGTTGCCTTTTGGCCTTGCTTCAAAAAGAGTGATCCAAAACGAAAAACGAAAAGGGGCAACGTTGGGACGAGCTCAGACCGGGATTAGGCACTAACTCTTTATTGCCTGTCTGTTCGTGCAGGAGTCGAAGACCTATGACAATGCGAATGTGCCAGCTGCTGGGGCTGGGGCTGGATCGGCTGCCGGAATGAGTCCGGCCCAGACGCAAGGCACGGCGGGCGTCCAACCGCAGCGGCCCGCTCATGCAAAGGAATACAGCTTCTTGGACATGGAACTCAAATACGGCTTTCTCCAGGTGAGGAGTGGCTGTGTGGCTTTCGCTTAGTATATTTTGTATGCTATTTGTATGTTGTCCTACAGCTGACGGAGGCCCTGGCATATCTTCACTATTCCGGTCACGTAATTCATCGAAATGTGTGTCCATCCTCAGTACTAATAACCAAACGCGGTATATGGAAGCTGGCCGGCATGGAATATGTGGGTGAGTATATACTACCCACGAGGTAGTAGCCAGTAGCCAGTAGCCACTGGCCATTGGACAAATTGAAATGAATTGAACTGAACGGGCAATGGTGGGGAAACGGCAATTTGTATTCATATTCGCATTGCAGAAAGAATGAATGAGACTGATTTGAATAGCTCAATTCCGTGTCCGCCGTGGAGCAACAGGGTGTCAAAGATGGCCCAGCCGAATCTGGATTTTATGGGTAATATAGTCCCCCCATACACACCCATTTGTTTCTTTTGGATGTTCTTGATTATATTGTGTGATATTTTAGCACCCGAAACACAGTCAACGTCCAAGTGCAGTCTGCTCAGCGATATGTTCTCATTGGGAATGGTGATCTGTGCGGTCTTCAACAATGGCAGGCCCCTGATACAGGCCGGCAACTCAACCTCCAACTATGCCAAGCAAATGGAAACGGTGCGTAAATAGCAGAGGGGATGATGATTGAAGGACAAGTGCCAATTGGTTGGAATTGCTACGCTTGGCTGCCTCTCCCTCGGCTCTGTTTGGGTTGTTTGCCCGCTGTAATTAGATTCGCAGCTTTGTCAAATGCAAATGTAATCAAAAAGTCCACTTGAAACTCTAATTATTTTGCCACTTGTGCGGACAGGTGACGGAGCGGAGCGGAGCTGAGCGGAGTGGAGCATCGTCAACCGAAGCAACAGAAGCTGTAGCCAACCGCCCTCCCCAGGCGTTTGTCATTAAAACTTTTCGTCCTGTCTGGGGCATTGGACTTGTCCTCAAGTGGTTTCTAATGTTGTGGCCAAGTTTATTTCGGTTATGCTTATACTTTTCCCCCCCTCTCTCTCTCTCTCACTCTCTCTCTATCTGTGTTGGCTTTCCTCAACAACAGTTGGATGATATGGTCCACAAGTTGATGCCTCGTCTGCCCATTGCCCTGCAGGAGGCCACTTCGCGCATGGCCAGTCGAGATGCAACGGCCCGGCCCACCGCCCAGCTTCTGCAGTTGATCAAGTACTTCATGTGAGTGGATAAATTAATTAACTTTCAGCTTTCAGCATTCAGCATTCAGCGCTAAAACGTATACCAACAGCCAAGAGTAACAGTAACAGTCGCCAAAGTAATAGCAATTTGTGCAGTTTTTCCACACAAAGTTTATTTTGTTTCTTTGAGTTTCAAAATGTAATTGACACCTGCTGAAAGCAGAAACTCACTCAGCCCTGAAGGGGAAGCTGGCAGTTGGTGAGGGTGATGGTGGGGGTGGGTGTGGGTGTGGTACACGCAATCTCTAAGCCAATTTGTAGCTAAAATTCAATTGAAGGTTTAACATTTTTTTTGTTTGTATTTTTTTTTTTTTTTTGCACCAACATCCATCTAGACACACGCACACTTTAATTACGTCTGTTTGCCAAATGAAAGCGGTAATCAGACCTGAAAGGCATACACAATGCAAAGTGAATGGAAGCTGGATGCTCCGGGAAACTCCGAAGAGATGAATGGTAGCCCGACGAATGTCCCAGACGGAGCTGAAAGGGAGCTGAATGAAGATTGGAGCTGAAGTGGTAGCTTTTCAGATGATTGTGCTGTTGAATAGTTGAATTCGAGTGGCAGTTGGAGGCATCTCCTAGGAGCTGCCTGCTTGACGCTTGGATTTATGACGACAGCAGCCTGTTCCAGCAGCCTTCCTCCTGCAGATATCTGCGGTAGGTGGTAGCCCGGGCGTGCAGGCGTGCCGCGCTTAGACAAACAGAGCCAAAGATGATGCTGGTTGCTGAGGGAGATGCTGCATAGCTGAAGTGGCAACGGCAGCACAGCCAACACAGATGACGATTCCATGAGGAGAGAGCCCCACCCAATGGATACCGCAAACCTGGCTAAAAAGAAAGATTTGACAGTGGGAATGTGAACGGGAAGGCTACAGATTCCCCTTTCCACCCATTGTGATAGAATTATTCAATGCTCTGGCATAGCTAACATTCGGACTGATATACCCTTCGCTATACCCATCTTTGTGCGGCTCTAAACGCGCTGACAGAAGCAGCTACAGGGACGGCATCAGCAACAGCAACAGCGTGCTACTCCCATCCACTTTCATCACTTTCCATTCCATTTCCATCTCGACCATGCTCCCTTTCTTGCCTCTGCCCCCTTTCGCCCTCCTACCGCCACCCGCCAGGCAAGCAGTCAGTCTGTCAGCCAGGTTGGTGGCAGCACTTTGAAGTTAATTTAAATGTTGTCAACATTTTCCGCGTTTTTAGCAGCGTATGCAAATGGCTCGAGTGTCTTGGCAATCAGTGGCAAGCTAACTTTGCTCGCTTACTCTGCCCCCCACTCGCCCCAGGTAGACTCCTTGCCAGGATGGATATACTTGAAATATGATTTTGCGTGGTTGGTTGCGCTGATTAAGTCGACAAAAGGAGGGGGCAAATCAGCTGGACAGCATCTGTTGCCCGCGTGCAACACGGCGCATACGTAATTCGATTTAGTTGCATTGTTTAACAAAGCGCACTGCTCAGCGGCGAATAATACAAATTTATCTGCCATTTTCTGAGCAATTTCAGCAGCCAAGGACCCTCTTGGCCTGCTCCGCCGCAGATAACGGACTTAGCACCGACCGAAAAAGGGGTGCGGTATGCCCGCCCGGAATGTGGTCGAAAGTAAACACTTTCTGGCAATTAAATTTCAGCAATTTGCATTTACATAACAATGAAATATACGAGTATTTAAAATTCCAAGCATTCAAAAAGTTCTGGCACCGCCCGTGGCTCTTGGCTTAATATTTTAATTGGAGCCCCGGCTCCCACCCTACACCCCTTGCAGAGATACATAAATATTTTGTTTGGTTAATTTTTGGTGGGTTTTTGTTTGTTTGTTGATGAATTGAATTTTCGGGCTTAACATTTAATTTGCCTGCAATTTTCCCCACTAATCCGTGTCCAACAATTCGTCGCGAAAAACTGAAATGAAGCACTTAAAGCGAGCGATTACGATATTATTCGTTTGAAATACGCGAACGAGTACTGTCTGTCACTCGTCCAACATTCACTCAAAATGACACGGCTGATGGCGATATTTAATTTAATTTGGTGCGTTGCTTGTGACTTAATGTTCCTTTGGATCCTCCACAGCGATCCGGCCATAAATGCTCTCAAATTCCTGGACGTGGTCAACATGAAGGACACGCAGCAGAAATCCCAGTTCTACAAGACCACCTTGATAGAGGCCATGCCGGTGATACCACGTGTAAGTCTCACTCTCTGTCTCACGGCCACTCACCGGAAACGGATGCAGCCATTTTTGGGTTTTCTTTATTTTACTTTGTTGGTTTTTGGTGGCGGGAATGGGGAGTAGCGAACAGACAGAACAGCGCATTAATCATTTACTGGCGCCAAGTTGTGCGCTTTACGGCCAAACAATTTGTGAATTACGAGCCGTTTTATGACAGTTGCAAAAATGTTGCTGGCAAACGAGTGTCCCTTTGTTTTCTGGCTCCGAGCACAGATGGCCATGGCCCTGCCATCGCAGTGTGTGCCACCGCCGAGCCATCAGCAACAGGCACGAAACAGGAACCTGCACAGCAACAATGGACCTGAAGCGGAAGGTGGAAAGGCTTTGGCCATTGTCCGACATCGTTAATGACAGCTTATCATCGGCAATTGAAATGCCATAGACTAGTTAATGACTGTCTGTGTCTGTTCGCCCACAATTTTATGCACCCTTCTTTCTTTCTTTCTTTTACTCACTCTGCAGAAACTTTGGTGGCAGACCATTTGGCCAATGCTCAAGTCGGAGATCAACAACAATGAGGTTCTGGCCGCGGTCCTGCAGCCCGTCATGCTTTTTGTCCAGGAAGCCACTCACTTCGAGTACGATGCTTTAATGTCCGCCACAATGAAGTAAGTACAACTTTTGAATAGCTTTGAATAACCGGCGAAGGGAAAGGAAATTGAGCTCCAGCAGGCACTAAAGCGAAAAGCAACTCGAGCTGAAGGTCACAGATAGAATTCAAATATGAATTGATACCAGATGGGTGACTAAATGAAGGGAATGGACTAGAACTAGACTATGAATTGATATCAGATCGGTGACTAAATGATGGAAATCGAATATGATGCTAACGGAGTAGATTAAACTATCAAAAAGTGCTCAGATAAATCGTTCAATCAATGGAACTAAACGTAAAATATGAGATTAAATGGACTGCATAAACTTAGCCACTATATTCATTACACCCATTCATATTTAAATAACTGAACAAAGTCCGGCGGTAAGTAGTGCCTCAATCCTCCCATTGTTGGGGCAGCTTCCGGAGTTTTCTCCTTGTCTCTTTGTCTCCCTTTTCCATTTTCGTTTCCGTTTGCGTACTTCAGGATCCAGGATCCAGGGGATCTCTACCAACTGTTTGCTTAAACAATTGAGAAAAACTTTTCGGACACTTTTTGGTGTTATTTAATTTTCATGACATTTTATTGCGCTCAGTGGGACGTGGGCGACACGACACGGCAGTTCATATTGTAATTTATAGAGCTCAAGTGGAAGCTGCAAACTTTCCCAGCTCAACTACTATGCCGTGGCAGGCAGGGCCATGCTCTCACCTTTTTTGTGGCAGCCGTGCATAAATTAGTGAAACAGACAAAGCCCGGAGATACCGGAGTAGCACCTCCCACTCGGTGCGGTGAGCTGAGCTCCGGTTCGCGCTCACTATACTCGCACTTTGCTGGAAAGTTGGTGGCGATGGGCGGCAAAGTTTTCGGCCACTTGTAAGGCGCTTACTGACACCCTGTCCAAAAAGTTTCTCCCACACGACACAGCCACAAAGGACACGGACACGGACACCAAACACAGAACACAGAACACGGAACACGGCCTAATGCGTTTATTTTTAGTTATTCCTTTCTTTCTGGAATCCGGCCATAAGTCACCGAAACCGAACTTTTATCTAATCAAATCTGTGGCGTATCGCTCGCTGCTCTGTCTCTGTCTTCTTTGGGCTGTCTGTCGCCTGTTTCAGAATCGTCTACAACACACCGAAATCCATTCAGGCAAGCGTTACGATACTTGAGAATTTGCATTTGATTATTGAGAAGACGAAGCCGGAGGATGTCACCACAGATATAATGCCGATGCTATTCTGCTCCTTTGACGGATCCACGATACAAGTGCAGGTGAGTGCTCTGCTTTCTGCTTTCTTGGCTATGCAAATGAGTTGGGTGTGTGGGAGGGGGGTGGGGACTCAAAGACAGAGCACAGAAATGGAAATATGGGTTGACAGAGCTGATTGTGTAATTACGAGGCGAGCCACTCGCATAGCAGCAAATTTCTCAATTAACTGCGATGCGTCTCAGGCCATAGAAAAGCCAAATTCATGAATTTCCATTTGGTTTGCTTTGTGTGTGTGGTGTTTAGAGTGCCGCCGTAGTGGCTGTGGCCAATGTGTTTGACAGCATCGATGAGCTATCCATACGCCGCATGGTCCTGCCCAAGGTCAAATTGGTATTCGAGAAGAACATCACCGATCCGAAGATAGTGCAGAATGTGCTCATGTGCATTGAGCGTGTAATGGACCGCATGGAGCGGGCACAGGTGAGTGCAGTGCAGTGCAAAACACAAATCCAAACAAATTTCCATAAATCTTGTTGTGTGTTATTTATGTGCAGGTCATGGAGGAGGTACTGCCGCTGCTGGCCAATATTCGCATACCCGATCCCGATATCATCATGCGTACTGTGCGTAAGTTGACCCAGACAATGCCTGCTCGTTCAATTTCACACACAAAAACAAAAGTTCGCATTGTTGTTACCCATTGCCGATAACCAAAAACTAATTAACTTGCATAAAACTCATTTGCGAGCCTGCTGGCTGCTGGCTGCTTCTCACAGATACAACACACACACACATGAATATTAGATTGTATCTAGCAACAGTGCGTTTCAGAATTCAGAACGGAATAATCCCACAAATCATAAAACGCACTGTTGAGAGCCAAAAGCTTATCACAAGAGTCGTCTCTGTTGCTCTTCGATTCCACAGGCATCTATCATAAGCTGTTTGTGGACAAATCCTACGGCCTGAGCGTGGAGACCATGGCCACCAATGTGCTGCCTCTGCTCATACCGCACACCGTCAATCCGGCACTCAATTTCGAACACTATTGCTATCTGCTTGAAGTAAGTCCCCACGAAGCCACACGAATTGTTTCAGGCTAAATACGCTGTTCTATGACCGACCAGGTGCTGCAGCAGATGCTGGAGGCCATCGATCGACAGCAGCGCAACAAATTGAAGCTGGACAACCTGTCGATGGCCTCGCCGGAGCGACACCGGACACTGCGCCACCAATTCTCGACGGACAACATGAATGCGCCGCCCTTCAACATACCAAACCTGCGCATAGATCAGCGCAAGACCTCCAGTGCCGAGGACATGGCCCGCAAGAACTCTGGCGGTAAGTGGTAGTGGTTGGGCGGTTGACAGTACCCGTAATATATCCTTAATTGTGTGTCCTCCGGTCATTTATAATTGGAAATTTTAGTCGTGATTTCCATTTGATATCCATCGAACGTGACGGAAGCTCTAATCAGTAATGTCTCTCTATCTGTCTCTCTCTGTTTCTCTGGCCATTGTGTGGCCATTGTGGGGAGCCGTTAATTGTATTATTAGGAAAATGATAATTTTATAATAACCAAAATTAAAATCAAAAGCGGCGCTCGCAGCCAGGTATTATCTGCAATAGCAGCAGGATGTGCCTGTGCCTGTGCCTGTACTGCTACCTAATGAACCTTTGCCCATAATGATGATTTATTATGATGGCCCTGGCCACCATACACTCTGCACTGTGCACTCTGCACTCTGCACTCATTTTCCTGCAGTTTCTTGGCAACAAACAATTTGCCATAATTGTAAGCTGTGTTCCCTGGTCCTCCGCCTGTCCCTGTCCCATTTCAGCGAGTTGAGAGTCTGCATCTGTAGATGGAAGAGTATGATGCATTCATGTTTAAAGCTAGGCAGGGGCGCTGTCTTTTAGAAGAAATATGAAGAGCTGCGTCTGTTCCAACTCAAAAACGGAAGACAGAGCCATTTAATCCAAAATTTAGCATATTAATATTATATAATTGGGGGAAAGACTCTAATCATGCTCGCAACAAGCAACCCCAATAAACTACAAAGGGAATGGATAAACTTGACATTCAAGTTAATAACTTTCGCCATGTATTGCCACAAAATGTGCCTCGTCTGGTGGAATAACCCAAAACCAAAAAGAGGACGATGACGGGTACAAGGACAGGGAGCATGGGATGCCAGGTGTCAGGGTCTGGTTAGGGAGCCAACAAGAGTCATGTGCAGCGGCCGCAACCGCAAAATGTGCGAATGTCCTTGACAGTGATAGAAACAGCAAAGGGAAGGATTGTAGCTGGCGGTGGAGGAGGAGAGCAGGAGGTCTGAAATGGGGCGCCGTTTGGGGTTTTGTTGGTTTTTGGTAGTGAGTGCGTGTGGCTGCGGGCTACGGGCTGCGTGCTACGGGCTACGTGCCTCTGTTTTCAGGCCTCCACCGCGAGCATTATTAGACTTAATTAGCTGGGCTCAAAGCACCAAATGTTGGCCCTGTCAGCGTACACGTAATTGTATCTGATGTCTCTCTCGCTCTCTCTCTCTCTCTCTGTGTTTATACAATGTATCTGTATATATGTATGTATATCTGTTTGTCTCTGTTTTTGCGGCAGGGTCTGGCATGCTGGGTGGCTGGTGGTTTGGCTGCTCGCCATCGTCGCCGGATAGCAATTTCCTGCGCGTTGGGAACGTGTTCCCCAATCGACGGCTCTCGGACAACACGCTGATGACACCCAAGATCCGCATCGCGCCCTCGTGCGCCTCATCACCGGGCGGCACGCCGGGCAGCGGCCTGCCGACGCGCCGCCACTCGAGCATTGGGCCACAGGAGCGTCGGGGCTCCGCCATCAATTTGTCGCCGCCAACTGTAAGTTGTTTGTGTCTGGCCACGCCACTGGGCGAGCCTTCAGATCCAGTTCCAGTTTTTGTTTTTCGTTTTCGAATTTGGTTTTCATTTGTTGCTTTTCGTATTGTCATTTTTCATTTTCATTTTTCTTTTCGGTTTTTTCATTCTTGTTTGTCGTTCATTTTGCGGCCGCCATTGTTTGTTGTGGTTTCACTTTCGTTGTTGGTTTTTTTTTTTCATTTCGGGGGCTCTTCCCTTTCAATTGACTTTCGGCGGCCACAAAGGGCAACAAAAAGTCGAGTCATCTTTTTATTGGAATTTCATTTGAGGCCAGCAGCCCATGTGTCATCATATAACCAGTTGAAACTATAACTATTACTATATCCAAAATAGCGATAGTCTTATAGCCTCATAGCCTCATAGCCATATAGCTATAGCGCCTAGCGTAGCGTTTAGCGTGTTTAATTTCAGTCTACAGTTACAGTTACCGTTAACAGTTAACAGTTGCCACCACAAGCTGCTTGAAGCGAACATTGCCACAAAACCAGACAAGAAACATTCCGTTCTCGTTTCAGTTTCAGTATCACTTTAAGTTTGCTTTAAATTTGATTTCCCCCATCTTTGATTTTTGATGAATGTTACTCATTATCCCTACCAACCCCCCCACCCCACCCCACTAAAGCCCCGCCGCCATGAAGTCAACATGCAACAAAAAGCTCTAACACACACTCTCTTATCTCTTATCTCCACTCTCCCCCCACACGAAAAACCCCCACCACACCATGTGCCACACAAAATATGAACAAAATAACGGTTGTGTCCACCTCATCGGGGGTCATTCGATCTCCCTCCACTCTCTTAAAAACATTTAGTACGGTGGTGCCCGCGGTAGCTCTGGATCGAGTCTATCGGTGCCCTCGACTTCGGTATATGTCGTAAGTCTAAAAAACACAGCAATCTGTCACCTCTACTATGTCGATAACTGAATGCTTCGACTGCGTCGAAGATGCTGTACCCTTGCTAGGCTTTTGGATCAAGAATATTCCTTTGCAATGTCTTCTGAACGGGAATCTGTTCCATCCATATTATTTGTTTTATTAGTCCTTTTAGCTAACCAAACGCAAAGCCTCGGCAAGGGTATAGGCAAGCAGCCAGACATGGTTGGACCTAATATCGTTCGAATTTGATGATCTTCTTGTGCGAGTTGTAGGCATCATGAAGCCAGCATCAGCATTGAAATGGACTTTTTTATGTCTCGTTGTTGTCTGTCTCGTTGTTACTGTTATATCGTTGTCGTCTCCAAAAAAAAAAACGCATTCCACAAAACTCAACTCTGTCTCGCTGTTGCTCTCTCTAACCACACACACAAACAGACACTCTCGTCTACTCGTACATTCATAAGCAATAACAGACACGCTCGTTCAAGCTTGCAACGGTTCTTGTTCTCGTTCTCGTTCTTGTTTCTGTCCATGTCCATCCATGCCAAAGGTAGTTGCGTGCACCCCAGATGATGCTCATCCGTTTCCGTTTCTAACCGTTTCCACCAAAATTTCTACCCGTTTGCTCGCCTACTCTCGCTCGCTCGCACGCGTCACTCGCTGCGTCTCTTTTGATGTGTGTTTTTTGAGACTGAAAACTGAGTTTTGAATATGAATTTGAATATGAATTTGACTTGCTGTCTGAATCTCTCTCGTTGCTGTTCTCGTTCTCGTAACCGTATCCGTATCCGTACTCGTTCTTGTGCTGTTATTTGAATGGATTTTGTTTCCATATTCTGTGGTTTATGTTTCCTTAATTTTCTATCCGTGTTGATTTTGGTTTGCCCTTCTATGCATTTTGCTGCGCTGTTGCTACCTACATACATACTTACCTACATATGTGTTACTGTTTCTGTTTCTGTTTATGTCTCCTTCCTATCTTTAACCAAATCTTCATTGTTTTAGTTTATTTCTCGTTTGACTTTTGTGTTGTTCCGATTCAAGAGCTCTGTTCTTGAGCTGTGTCTGCATCTCTCTCTCTGTACATCTCTGTCTATCTCTGGGTCTTGCCCCGCCTCCGGCCGGGCCAAATGGAAGCTTATGCTAATAACCCGTATTGTGTACATATAACAGTCGATTCTATACCATTTTGTTGTTTGTTTTTTTTTTTTTGGTGTTCATGTTACATTCTTTTCCTACTTACGCATTACATTTTGTGTTCCAACTGTGTACAATGTGTTTAAACTTTAAAGAGAGGCACACACGAAAGTTTAATGCAAAATATCTGAACAATGATGTTGGAGAGTCTAACCAAATTGGAGTATGGAAAAATCATCATCAGCGACGTCATTTTTGTTGGGCTTTGTAAGAAATATTGCGTTGAAAATTGTGAATGCGAATATATCAATAAAGAGTACCAATGTTCGAGGGAGAATGAAATTTGATATCCCATAGGACGTTTTACCAAAGGATCAATCCATCTGTGAAATAAGCAAAGCCAATTTACTGGTCCCTAAGATGTCCGTGAAGACCTGATGGAGGACTCGCCATCAGTAGCCAACACAACAGAAACAACAGCAGTTTATGTTTATACCTACTATATCCTATGCAATCAATACCTTTCTATACTGTTCTAAATACTCGTACACCTCTACCTCTACTTGTTCATTAAATGTCCTGATCGTGCTCAATGTTAATTTGATTTCCTTTCCATTTCCACTCTGTTCATGTTGCGTTCATATCCTGGAAAACAAAATAAAAACAAACACAAGAGAAATGTACACCAACACACACACACACACACATGGACACTATATACGTATTATATATATGTACCTTTGTGTTTTTGTATGTCTTAAAAAAACGAAAAGAAAAGCCGAATTTGTTGTGCATTTTCGCTGCTGTTTCTGAATTTTTGAACAGCAGCGTAGTGGAATCATGTTTAACCCCCTGGTTGTTTCTTTAGCCAGCCAAAAACACACACACTCTGACACGCTCCAGGCACATACATATACAGACACAGGCACAGATACAATACATACCTACATATGTACATATGTACAAATGCGTTAAAAGGCTGTTTTTTTCATGAATGTACTTTCCGTTCTTCATTTCATGTACGAACACGAACAAATACAAAAATACAAAAAAATAAAATAAAATCAATTACATATACGTATGAAAAAAAAAAAAACCAAATTCGCAGCTTGCACGGAGCATGATCGTGAGTACACGTTTCATAATTTCGGATTTTCAATTTAATTTTCTTTGAATTTTCCACCACGGTCTCTCTCACATTCACTCTCTTATTCTGTCTTTCAACTATTTAAGGTCTAGACACGCACATACACATACACACAGACACACACACACACACATACACACATACACAAGTATGCTGATATTAAATTTTATGTTAATGTAATTTGATTTCATTTGATGCGGCCCTTATCCAAACTCCCAAACCCCCACAAACCATCATCCCCCTTTTTCGACGGCGAGACCAAATCTGATTTTGAGTACTTGAATAATTTGGTATATGCATACACATAAATATACATAAAAATGTATGTATGTATATTCATTCGCATATGTACATACTATATCCATACATATGTATAATAGCCATACATATACATACCCATTCTATAAGTATTCTCGTACCGCTTCTATTCGTTTATATTCGTTTGTATCAATGTTTTTTGGAACAAACATTCTCATGTCTGTCTGTCGATTGATTGAGATTCCATTTTGACTTTTGCCAAACAAAATCTTTGCTTTCGTTTTGTTGTTTGTTGCTTTGTTGGTTTGTTTGTTCGATTGTTTGATTGTTTGTTTGTTGCACAATCAGCTAAATGTATACCAACTTCTCTGTGAGGTGAGAGCCACTCATGAATAATGCCTTGGTTTCGAGACACTCACACACCTCCACACACACACACACACACACACACACCGAATACTTTTGTACATAGCACAAACAAAATATTAAATAATAACCGAATTATTCTATAAGTATGACCGAAGCGCATCCACCAATCTAATCTAATCTAATCGAATCCAATCCAATCCAGATATTTATATGACATATGACAAGCCCTGACTAATCTTCCAAAGAAATCTCCTTTATTGTACTCCCAAAAACAGGGTGGCTCCATGCCGAACACCTCGAGCAGTGTTCCGTTTTTGTTGTCGTCGAGCATGCAGTCGATAAGGTCGCGCCGCCAGTCGACGGTACTGTCATCGGGTCCACTCGGCTCTGGATCGGGCATACTGCAGCAGCTGGGATCCGGCATGGTAAGACAATTAACTTCCGTATCCGGCACGGTTAGTCCGGTGCCGCTGTTGCGGGTGAATGGCGCACGCAACAGCATCAGCCACAGCCACACCAACGTCCGAAAGTGTCCGTCACTCAATATCACATTCAGTCAATAGTATAATCTGAACGAAATCGGCGGGGCCCAGCCTCCCGCCGATTCGCTCAGATTCGGGTACGTCAATCCAAGCGCCAGCAACAGCAGCAGCTACCATTACGGCTACAATTACAATCAGAATCTCAACAATGTGCGCTACAAAGCCCAGCTGCAGAGTATGAATTTTAATCTTAAACCGCCGCCAAAGTTTTAAATCTCTAAAAACTCAAAACAAAACAAACCAAAAAAAAAACAGAATCTGAAAACTGAATGGAAAGAATGTCATAGATCAAAAGCAAATCAAAGCAAAGCAAAATCGAATCAAACGTTGTATATGCAAGTGGGGGCAGAGGGTAAAATGAAGCAAACAATCAATTTACATTATCTACAATATGAAATATTAATGAATGTACCCATGTACCTACCATACTACTATGAGACATACTCTGGCCTAGACATACGTAATAATTACATACAGTTGATGCTAAAACTAAAAGAAAAAAAAACAGATAAACCAAATATCAATTATATTTACATACATATATACATACATAGAACGAATACAACTGTTGTTTTTGAAGAATTTATTCAAGTCCTATATATTTGTATGTAACATAAATGTTAATGTTGGAAACATATCCAAAGTCGTAACAAAGTTATATTATCTATACGTACCACATAGCCCAATTAGATATTTAATATTATCATTATCCTTATTGTTATTTCTATTGATTGTTGATTATGATTATTGCCTAATACTATGATCCGTACCTCCTATCGTACCTGTTCCTCTCTCTCTCTCTCTCTCTGTCTCACTCTCTCTTTTAAGAAAAGACAACAAAAACACTAAGAAAACATCTTCCAAACAAAAATTGACATAGATCTAAATTTATGATCTATTCTAGTTCCTAAAAAATAACATAAAATTGAGAGAGCTTCAAGTCCACAACAACACACATGCACACTAGTGCCAGTATTCAGTATTCAATATCCAGTATTTATTCATGTACAGTTGTGTGCGTATTGTGTGTTAGTTTTTATGTGCGGAACGTCATGTTAATTTTATTTTTAATTATCATTGTCGTCCCCTGGTAAAAGTACTTGAAAAATAAATTCCATTGTCCCAGTGTCGATGATTAGGTCATAAGTCCCCAATTAACTATGAATTTATCGGATTAATGTTGGATTAATATACACGACCCTATACCCGCTCACCCATTCTCATTAGGCTAAAGTTATACTATCGTACAACTTTAAGGACCAACTAATAAGTTATAAGAACTGATTTCCATTAAGATACATCAGTATTTCGGTATTTAGGTTATTAAATTGGTAATTCCATATTTTTTATTTGAAATTTTAATATTAGTTTAGTCTCCATTTTGCATTTTGCATGAGAGGTTTGCTTGTCTTTTTTTAAATTTTCCCCTTCTAATTGAGTGGCCAAAATTTCCTTCATTTTAAAACAGGGAAATATTTAATATTTAAAGTTTAGTCCAAAAACCATATGCAAAGACTTAAGATAATACTAAAACTATATTCAAAACTTGAAACTTAAATCAATAGCCACAAAAGCTACAGATGTACCTTAAATAATAGTTCAACTAAATATGGCTGAATCTACAAGAGAAACTTGAACTTTTGCTGCGGATATGACCTTTTTAAAAGTGGTGAAACTATCCCAGAACTTAACTATCCCAAAATTCAAAGAGAGTACAAATAAAACCGTAGTTAAAATTGCATGCTATTTACATAAATCGAATAAATGTGCTTTGAATTTGTGGTTGTTTTTGCTTCTACCGATCTACCGATGATCGCCACTCGGTGCTGCTATGGCTATTGCATAATTGTGGTGTTCTGTTACTATGTGTGTATTGTATGTGTACGTACTATTTGTCCTGACTTGCCATTTTACTTTCTGCCCATCTGAACTGCACAATGAATATTTTGGAGATACAACAACAAAAATGAGATAAACTAACGAAAATATCGATGCTGAAATGGCCAACTAAAACCAAGAACCAAGCTAAGCAGCAGCAGCTGAAGATAGAGAGAAGAGAGATAGTGTATGATATACACAAAAATATGTATATGGTGTACCTACCAATGTGTATACTTGATTGATTGACTGACACTGAAGGCTTTAGAGGGCTGCTTGCTAACTAGCCAACTATAAAGCTACGAACCTAAATGAATCTGATCTATAAATCTATACTAAATCTATCAACCGTTTTACCAGTTGTTGATATGCATTTGTATTTGTATTTCTACTACTACTTACTACTACTACTACTATTACTATTAAGTCATTGCGAATTTATTGTAACTGTTAAATGTATTGTATACTTAATTCTAATGCTTCGCCTTTGTTGCACAATCAATGTTGTTTCCCCCCATATATATACATACATATATATAAATACCTGCAAAAATCCCACCAGCCCGCTGTATGTACCTAGCTAGCATTTCAGATTTGAGTTTTTTTTTACTTTGCTTTCGCTGTTTCATTCCTACTGTAAGTTGTACTTATGATTATAATTATATACTTCGAAATGTGCCTTAAGAGTTCAAAAGTTCTCGCATTCTGAGTGCGAAAAATCTCAAAAGATATAAGTACCACCAACAAAAAAAAGATGATCGCCAAGAGTAACGGCTAAACGACCGCCTATTTGTGGTTGAATGTAAGTCGCCTGGAGGAAAGGTGTCCCCCAGTAGCGTAGCTCCCCACCCTCCACAGCTCACTGCAGTCCACACCCATGCCCACACTCATCCACAACTGTACCTTAGTAGTAGTTTTGTAGACCAGACCCACCCCATCCATCCAGTGAGAGCTCAATACACACACACGCACACACAAACACACACGTACAAATAAGAGTGTAAACTGCTCATACATAGATAGATGTCCGTAGTTTTGCATTGTACTCGTATGAACAAGTTGAACCCAACAGATCCCAGAAGGTATCCCAGACATCCAGCATAGGATCCCCGAGCCGATCGAGAGTGCATGACCCAAACCCCGAAATCCCTCAAAACTGATGTCGATGTCTGTCTAAATATCTTTTCTAAATATATATAATTGTAAAAAAATACAAATACCTATTATATGTGTAATAATAGCTCCCCAGTTTATCTCTCCCTGTCTCCAATTATTTGGTGTAATTATTTGGTCCTGTAATTTGTAATACCCCCGTAATATTGTAACATCCGTAACCGTATCCGTATCCATAACTGATCGGTGTGTGTGTTTGAGATTAGCAGCAACAGAAACCCAACGTAATCGTATTTTGACCCGTTTTCGTATCCGTATCCGTAGATAAATAAATAATAAATCCTAACTAACAACAAATACCAATAGCACCGTAATATGTATTTTGAAAATCGTGTAAAACAATCAGATTGATGGCCTAATTATCTTGCAACAACTCTATTACAGTATCAACTATTCTCCGGACGTAACTAAAGAAACGAAAACGAATACAGAAACAGATAAATACCATTCCAAAGAATCTAATTACTTTTCAATGCAATTTCGGTCCAGTAATCAACTTATACAATTAGCTCGAAACATACGAGTTTATTACATTGTAAACGCATACCAAGAGCAAGGCAAACTTAAATATATGTATTTCACTCGAAACTCTAAATGTTATTGCTAGCCAAAATCCAATTTGATGTGACCAAAGAGCGGCAACAATGCTCTCATTATCTTATAATCGCAAAATACTCGTACCAAGAATATCTCCAAAGAAAACCAATTTTAAACTAATTTATCCAAATGATGAAAAGTGTCAAACACAATCAAACACACACTCGCAACACAACACAACAAACACTCATTAGTACATTTTTAGTCCATAGAGATTCCCCACAAAAAGAAAACACACACATACAATGCAAAATGCAATCAATTCGTAGAAACTCGAACAATACATGGATATACATACAAACATATATTCATCATAATTATTATATGTTTATTGCCAGGCCAAAATACTTAGCTTAGCCACTTCCTTTATGTGTCATACAAATACTACTACTACTACTACTACCCCATATGACATATAAATATTTTTCGAATTATTTAGTGAATAACCAAGCCAAATAAGTAATCATTTAGCATCAAAATCTCAGCCTCAGACAGATGGAACTTCGGACCACCGATGAGATGTGTTGTGCTTTCCAAAGAAAATCTCTCAAATGCAATATTATTCATAAGAATTGCCAAGAATTTCCTTCACATTTATTTATTTCCTATATATTTAAACATCCCTCTTTTGGAGGGTGAAATCAGGTCATATCGCTTATACATACATATAAAACCTCACAGATATTAATACAAAACATATATACTCGTACTCGTATTCGTATAAATAATAAATCGTGTACCTAGAGTTGGTACCTAAAACATCGGCACAAGCTAAATCAAAACTTATCCCAGAGCTTTAAAGCAGAAGCAATCAAAATGAATATACATAAATAACCGTGTTAAAAGGGAAAGGGAGAAAAGGAAGAGTTTATATATAACCCAGAGACATGACCCACTACGTTCTCAAATAATGAATCTCTGTACATGAAATCATGAAATCCATTATACTACTCGTACACTCTGTTCACTGTTCACACCCAAAACTACTACTAAGGTGAATACTACTAGCTACACAATATCCAAACAAAAAAAAATAAAATAAAAATCAAAACCAAAACCAAAACAAAAGGTCCACTCCGCCACAGCCATGAAATGAAACCTAAACCTGAACAAATTTTTGTCTGAATCCCAAATCTATAGTCAATTTGTAGTATCGTTGGGCAGTACATTGATAAATCAGCAACTACATACATATATAATGCGTATATATTTATGGTAAATGGTAAACTCTTGAATCTTTATAGTACTCATAAATGAATACATACATTACAATTATCATTGTTGTGGTAGCTTTAGCGGAACCGAGATGGCAAAAAACCAAAAATATGAATTTATATATGTATACACAAGCCAGAAGGCGGTAACAAAGACAAACTCTACACAGAACACTAGAGCTAGAACTTACTTTATATCGTATACTCGTATACATACCATGCTCTGAACGACACGAACGGAAACGGGACAATCAAAATTCTACCGACGCGACATCATGCTCTTTATTTATCAATTCAAATCGTTCTGTTTGTCATTTGTTATGTTATTGTTGTTGTTGTCATTATGTTTGATTCGAGCTTATGGACTTGCCCACATGCACTTTTAGTTGAATTCTCTGTTGCTTTTTGTTGAGTCTGATATTTGGTTAATTAAATTATACGTTCGATCTACGGATCTTAGACAAGGCATATCGATATTGTTTATTGTTTACTAGGACATAATCATATGTATACATAAATTAGATTAACTTAATTTTAATTAATTTAAACTAAACAAAACAAAACCAAAAGGAGGGGAAAACCAAAAGCTCAAACTGGACTGAACTGAACATTTAAGAGTTATATTATGTGTACATTATTGAATATTAAATTGCATTTGATTGTGTGAACAAAACATACATTCATACATATACATACATACAAACATAAATAAGTTTAATGAGAACACTAATTGTGGTAATTTTAAAGGGTATTATATTTGTATTTGTCGTGTATTTGTATGTGTAACTCTGATTGTATGTATGATGAACCTCATCCTCTTCGGTTGTCCTCTAAGCTACATATGCATACATATGTATGTATGTATGTGTAATGGATAAACCAACTCTGTCTCTTGTGATCTATTGTGATGCTATGAGAGTCAAGCAGCACTCAACTGTTTTTATGCCTCTTAAAGTTTAAAACAAAGCAAAAGCAAAACCAAAACTAAAACTCTATTCTAACTCTAGTCTACTCGTACTTGCAAATTGGCAACAAAAGAATTATTGAAATTGAAAACAATCATGCACAATAATCGTGTGGCAAGACCCAGGAGGAGAGGCCAAGTTAAGACCCCAAGCTCTTTTTCATATACATATGTATGTATGTACTCGTACTTACACTACTTGAAGTAATTGTGTACTAAAGGAATTCTAGATTTTAAATGTGCTTCAACTGTTTATAGTAAAGTACTTAATTATGGGTGTAATTAACTAATATGTAACTAATATTTATGCGTACTCGTACAATGGTTAGGTATACATATGTATAATCATGTGGGATAGATGGATTTAATGTTGGAATGGAGCCACAAAATGTGCAAAGGGTATGTGTACGTGTACAAAACAAAAACAATTGAATATTAATGTTTAATAAATGTGTGGAAAATAACAACAAAACAGCGTCTATGTTTTCCATTCGTCCTGGAACAGCGGGTCCAGGCTGCACTTTTGCGGCTGTGCCTGATAGTTGTACTCCTTGCAGTTGTACAGCCGCTGCCCCATGTCTCGGGCCGCCTCGTCCGATTCATCTGTGTTGGCCTCGGCTATCAGGAGCTGTGTGTGCCTCAGGGAGGTGTGTTAATTTCTGTCTTGTCTAAATGGAATTCAGGGGCTTACCTCAATCTCTCGGGACAGGAATGCTTTGGTTGTATCACTCATTTTCTCCTGGGGCTGTCCCATCAGTGCGTTGCTCAGGAATTTATAGGCACCACTGGAATGGGATTTGTTGGTCACAAATGTGCATCATGTATGGGCAAGTACCTACGTCAAATCTATGCCATTCATATTAGCCGCCGATGGCCGCCGCTCGTTGCGCAGTATGGAGTTCAGAACGGCGGCTGCCTCGTACTCACAGCGCCCGGACAACTGTGTGGCCTTCATCAGCTCCAGCCACTGGTTAATGTTGTTGAGACTTACCGAATCGCATTCGTGCTCCACCTTCGCCTCTGCATTTTCACAGCTGCTGACCATGTACTCTGAGATTGATTTGTGTTTTGGTTAATTTAATGTGCCGCTGTTTCTCTGGGGCGCACACTTACCAATAATGGCCTCGCAGTTTTTTCCGTTTTCGGTGGCCCGCTTCAGGTTTTCCCGCGAGAAGCCCTTCTTTTCCAGATAGTTCAAAACGCGCTGCTTCGTGGGCTTGGTCAGTTTGGGCTTTCTTTTCTTCACAGATATCGCCATATTAGGCGTTTCTTTATTTTCTGCCATTATATTTATGCGGCCGTCAGCGGAATTCCAAAATCAAAACACTATCAGCTGTTGCTGCAGTGTTGCCAGTCGTCGCTGGCTCTGGACGTATGTGCGTCGAGTCAGTGTTGCCACCACTTTAAAAAGTGAAGCGAAAGTGGTCGGACGCGCGCGCTCAGTCACTGCCAAAGTGCATTTATTCCTTTTGTTTCAAAAGAAATATTATTTAAATAGCATAGTATTTTGTTTTAATATAATTGGTGCAATTTAGTGCAATATATGCTAAGTAATTTGCTTTTGAAAAAATAAGGAACACGCCACGCCAGCCAAGAGAGTTGCTGTGAAGTTTGCTGCTGCGAACGCGAACGCAAAGACAAAGAAACGAGAAGAACTTCGTCCGAAAGTCGTCCAGTCACGGAAAGACGGAAAGACCTCCCCTCCTAATTCCGAAGGTGACTCATTGCCAATATCACTGCCAATTGGAGATTGAAACTGCCAGAACAATTCGATCAATTTAACTCACCGTCCTTCACACCTCCACCATAAAAGCGCTTCCAAGATGCAGCCTTCAAGGCGGGAAATCGGAATGCTCCAAAAGCATCGTGAGCACATCATCGAGCACCTCGACGAGCTGGTGAAATGCACCAACTACAGGCGCATCAGAGAGGAATGTCTGCGTATGAACCTCTTGTCGCCCAGCATGCTGCGTATTGTTGAAGATCTGAGCGGTGCTGGGTTCAATATGAGCAAGGAGGACAGCCTGCTGGAGCAGCACAGGCGGCTGCTAATCAAGATAACCAAGCGCGGTCCCGCGGCATACAACCAGCTCATAACTGCCCTGCGCAATGTGGGGAGTCTGCAGGCGGTGAGGCTGCTAGAGGATGTTTCCGAGCAGAACTCCGGCTCCCCCTTCATATCCATCAACGAGCGGAAGATTACCCGCAAGTCGGCCGACATTGTGGATACACCGTCGCCGTCGGTGGCGGCGAGTGAAGGTGCATGTGTCAGCAAGGTGGGGTTCCTGTACAATGTGCCCGTTCTGTTTTCCTTATATTCACGTTATTCAACTGATTTTCAGAGGGAATACAATGAAGCAGGTGGACCGCTTATACCCTACATGGAGCCTGTGGACGGACAAAAGCGTGACGTCAAGAAGTCGGACAGAATCCACACCGACGAAGTGGTCGGCACGTACAGCATGCAGTCGAAGCATTATCGGGGCGTGCTGCTGATGATCAATATCATAGACTTTCCGGACACTGAGCGCAAGAGAAACGGCGCCGAAGTGGACAGCGATTCGTTGATCCACCTGTTCAGGGAAATGGGCTTCACGATATTCGCCTACAACAACATGAACCAGCAGCAGTTCTTCGACACCCTCGGCAAGGTCACCTCTTCGAAGTATGCACAGCAGACCGAGTGCTTTGTAATGGTGCTGATGACGCATGGCGAGCGTGTCGGGGAAAGGGATAAAGTGGAGTTTGGCGACGGCTCGGTGGTGGATGTGCACAAGATCAAGAGCTATTTCCAGGCCAGTGTCAGCCCGTATCTGGTGCACAAGCCAAAGGTGCTCATCTTTCCCTTTTGTCGCGGCAGAGAACCCGATCTCGGGCAGTCCATGAACAACTTTGATTCCATTGGCACGGCCGCTGCTCGTCAGGAAGAGACTGTTGTCGAGACCGAGGGCATACCCTCCACCTACACCAATGTGCCATCCCTGTCGGACACGCTGGTCTGCTATGCCAGCACACCGGGCTATGTGACCCATCGCGACCCCGAATCGGGTAGCTGGTACATTCAGAAGTTCTGCGACATGATGGCCGACCATGCCCACAACACGCCCATGGAGGATATTCTGAAGAAGACCAACGATCGGGTGGGCACAATGAGGACCAGCAAGGGCTCCCTGCAGACGGGCTCCTTCGATAATCTCGGCTTCAATAAGAAACTATTCTTCAATCCGGGCTTCTACACGGAATAGTCACTGCCACTGCCATGGCATATAATGAAAGCATTCCTGACTGAATATTTGCATTTCTCCAACTCGAAGCCCCCCTACGAATCCGTGTCTATATGTAAGTTTCGTCGCATTTATGTATTTTAGATTATGTGTCTTGTGCTCTCGTGTGTGTGCTATATGTATACGTACCTCTCACCCACCCACCATATTGTGTCCCGTCTCTCTACTCTATCCACAAATACTCAGCCCTTTTTTATGTTTCGAATGTACCCCCTCCGATGGGGTATGAATAGGAGCTTTACCATAAAGTATGACAATTTTAGAAACATTTTTACACTCCCATCAATTGATTATACATTTGAATAATAAATTTGATCGATTTTGGCCCAATTTAGATACGAAATCGGGTGGGGAAACTATATTTACAAACTATTTAATTAATTTAAAATCTATATCTACAGTCTAGGCGAGGGGCCTATGCCACGTCATCATTATCCTCTTCCTCCAGGTGGGACAGCTGCAGTTTGCCAGCAGCACGATTTTGATTTTCCTTGGGCTTCGATTTCTTTTGCTTCTGCGGCTTCTGGCCAATGATGTACTCGGGCATCACCAGTTTGGAGCCCCTTAGCTGGGGCTTGTCCAGCTCCACATCGGCCACTTCGTCGGCCTGCAGTTTCTTGAGATTGCGATTCAGTTTGCTCTTCTTTTTGAATTCAATTTTGCCTGCCGCTTCCATTGCTGCATCGTCTTCTCCTGGCTCCGTCTGGCGTTGGGCATCCATTTCGCGCAGAAAAGACAAGGCGGCGCTGGAGTTGCTTTGATCGGATATGTCCACATCTTCCAGTGAATACTTTTTCCACTTGTGCGGGTTCATCTGAAAAGAACACTCAAGATATTGTTAAAATCTCTTAATAGAGTAGGGACCGCTGCGCTGCTAACCTGATAGTCGGGCGTCTTGCGGGGCTTCAGGCAGCGTCCAATCGGCATTTCCGGCTTCTTGAATATACTCTCCTTGCCCCTCATGCGCTTCAGTTGGCCCGCATCGGGCTCAGTGCCACAATCAATGCTGCGGCCATGGCGATAGTGCATGACCTGTCCATATCCGGCGTCGCCTCCTGCTCGTTCGAGGGCATTCACCGTGTACGACTTGGCCTTGCTCTGATCCAGGGCCGTACCCTTGAGCTCTTTGCTGGCGTCGTCGAGGCACGCGAAGAGTGCATTGCGCTTGGCCGAAAACTCTTGCATTTTGCAATAAACAAAATTATTTTGCCGTGAAATAAATTAAAGTGCAGCAGAGCGTTGCCACACCTATGTATTATGTAGGCAAACAGCTGTTCAGACATACACGCACGTGCTTGCACGCTTTGCAGCACTAGTTTTTTTGTGCCGGTGTAGTTCAGCGTTGCAAAAGTGTGCTCTGCAAATATAAATAAAATAATCAGTCAGGTGGATATAAATTACAACTAATACACGGGGGATTCGTTTTCTGCAGCCTGCTGTTCGTTAAGAGTGTTGAGTGTCCTGCCGGGCATCTCAGATAGTTATTATAATTGGCTTGTCCGAAAGTCTAACCGCATGTGGCTTTTGGTGTCACGAAAGGTGGCGGCATGTGAGAACGTGGGAAAAAACAGTTGAACTAGAAATCAAATCATTCAAATCAAATCCAGCTGACCGAATAGTGACCATTGAATTGCTTAATAGGAAAATTGTAAAATTTTTGTAAAAATTGTGTATATTTTCCATTGCAACCAGTCGTTGCAGCCCTGATTCTCAGTGTTGCAAAACAACCCAATTTGCGTGACAGCTGATTTCTATTGTGATAAACATAATTTTTTTGTACCCAACGCATATAGAGAAGTATCAATTTAGCCTGTAGTTTTTTCCTTTGTTTTTTAATGCGCACTGCATGCAAGAATGTCGCTGCAAACGGCCCTGGGCTGTATTCTCACCGTATTAGCATCTGTTAGTATTGTGGCTTCCATTATTTTGTTGGGTAAGCAGGCAGGCAGCTGAAGATGATGATTACGCACTTTGTGGAAACGTGGGTGATCGTGCACTACCCTGTACGCTGTACTGTGACTAATAGCCCTCTGTTCTACTCTCTTTGAAGGCTGGTTATTGATCTGGAAGGCATTTCTATCAAAATTTCGTCTTGTGCGTGAACTGCTGGGTCAGGAAGAGCCAGAGGAGCAGCAGCAAGTGGTGTGGGAGCAGCAGCATCAGCAAGGAAGAGCACGCAAGGCACGCCGCGATTGAATCACCCCAGTCATAGTTCTAGTTCCAGTCCCAGCACCTGTTACACCGCAACAACAGACACAAAAACAACAACTTCAACATGAACATTCGCTGTGCTAAGCCCGAGGACCTGATGACCATGCAGCACTGCAACCTGCTCTGCCTGCCCGAGAACTATCAGATGAAGTATTACTTCTATCACGGCCTCACCTGGCCCCAGCTGAGCTACGTGGCCGAGGACGACAAGGGCGGCATTGTGGGCTATGTCCTGGCCAAAATGGAGGAGCCCGAGCCGAGCGAGGAGAGCCGGCACGGCCACATCACCTCGCTGGCCGTCAAGCGGTCGTATCGCCGCCTGGGCCTCGCCCAGAAGCTCATGAATCAGGCCTCCCAGGCTATGGTCGAGTGCTTCAACGCCCAGTACGTGTCGCTGCATGTGCGCAAGAGCAACCGCGCCGCCCTCAATCTCTACACCAACTCGCTGAAGTTCAAGATCATCGAGGTGGAGCCCAAGTACTATGCGGACGGGGAGGATGCCTATGCCATGCGTCGCGACCTCAGCGAATTTTCCGAGGACGAGGACGACAAGCCCAAGACCAATTCAAAGGATGGCGTCAACGAGGTGACGGCTGGCGGTGATTAAGACCTAGCATAAGCCAGCGTCATCACAGCGGCGAGGAACGTGCTGCTCTGTTGTTGCTGCTGCTGCATGCGTTTCGAAGTTTTTTTGCATTTTTGTGCATTAGGTTTTTGTAATTATTGTAACAAACACACACACACACCCACACATAAAACGAAACGAAATATAAAATTTCTCCCATTGTAAATGAAATTTCCAATTCCATTTTTCCCAATTTTCCCAATTATAAAAATCCAATTGCAGCTCATTTTAAAACGCAAAAATGGGTAATTTGTAAACAAATCTACAGGTGGCATCTAATTTTTACAATGGACAAATTTGCAAATTCTTCGGAAAAAACACAAGCGCGCTCAGCTGTTGCTGGCACTTTTTCGATAGCAAGAAAAAATTTTAGCCCGATACTATTACGATAGTATCGATTGTTTTTTTTTTCAAAACTATCGATTTATCAATAAAATATACCGACCCACTGAAATATACCCAAATATACCATGCCATTATCAAATGGACACGACATGACGTTGATATTTCTCGATTTTGATATTCCGCTTAATATTAGTAGCTAGTTGGCCCTTTCAGCCCTGAACAAATAATTTTATTCAATTCCTCAATAAATTGTATTCAGGATTGGCTTGTTTTCAGAACTCTTTTTCATTGGATTGCTTACATAAAAAGGTTCAAACAAAAACGGCCAAAGCATAAAACGTAAATGTTGGTCAACCAAGTTTCCTCTATGCGTATGGACTTATGTATACCGTATTTCCTTTAATTGATATTAAATTTGTTGTTCCAAGCTCCATTGAACATAAATAATGATTTGATCCTAGATGGACATATTTTTTACCTAATAATGCATATGTTTTGGGTTTTATTGGTACCCGCGAGCTGCAAAATTTCGTTAATATCCTTAAAACAGAGACTGAGTAGTTTCTGCATTAATTGGAGCCTGAAATTACAAACAATATCTCAAGTCTATAATATCCAGTTTTCCAAGGTATTCAGATTTGTTGCAGAATAAATGTTATATAACATTAACATTAAGAAAGTTATAACATTCAATTTCTCTTTTGTTAAAATGTTTACAGAAACATGCTCAGTGGCGCCATATTATACTCAGAAACTGTTCCCACATTCCAGTGCCATAATTGAGAAGAGCTTTCGAAGTATCCCTACTTTTGGGAAGAAAACAAATGTAAATGTCCCTTTGCCATTCCAGTCGCATCTAACATTAACATGCTACTGAATTCAGCATTCATTTAAATATCCCTGTAGTCAAATAGGCAACAAAACAGGTTGTTTTGAGAAGAAATCTATAATTGTATGACTTGGCTCTTCATTATTTTCGTGTATTAATTAACTAATTATATCAAATAGGGTATAGAAACATTCATACTCTCTCTAACAGTTCTTAACATTTTTAGCAGCAAGCTTTGTTGGGAATCAGGGTAGCATTTTACCTTGCGTTGCATTTTTGGTCCCTTACGCCAGCAACATGTGACGTCACATTTAGTCAACATTTACGTTTTATGCTTTGGCCGTTTTGAACCTTAATATGTAAATAATCCAATAAAAAGGACTTCTGAAAACTTGCCAATCTCTTAAAAAATGTATGTATCTATCGGATAAAATTATTTGTTTAGTGTTGAGAGGGCCAACTAGCTAGTAATATTAAACGGAATATCAAAATCGAGGAATATCAATATCGATAGTGCCCTCGATGGTTTGACACCTCTAACCAGCAACATTGAGCGTCGGAACGAACGTTATTTTGGCGCCCACGAACACGATTAAACATGTTTTGTAAGCTCCACTGAAGCTTCACTGTGCACGGCGAAGCTCCAGCTGCTGCCCATTCACCGATTCAGTTCACGTGGCGCGACAGATGAAACGCGTATCCTCAGCGCGTGTGTTTTTGGCAATCCTTGCAGCGCGGCGCAAACAACGTAAGATGCGATGCTATGAAATGTGCGCAAAGCAATAAAACAAACGACAATTGATTGAAATACAATTTATAAATAACAACTAAACGTGTTTAGCGGCGTGTGAGCGTGGGAGAGTGCCCCTACACTACACGCTCTGTGTGCGTGAAAGTGACAGACTGATACAAATAAACCGCAATTTGCATGATATTTACTGTTTATTGCTTTGATTTTGTGATTTGCGTCGTATACTCCTTCGCTTCGCCCGCTGCCGGTAATCAATAAACAAAGGCAAAAGCCAGTCACCGTCATAACTGTAAGCCCACTCTACTCGTGTCTACCGAGTGTTTTTAGGATAAATGTGCAAATAAAGTGGAAGTCTAAAAGCCGGCCACACACACACACACGCGCAAAAAGTAAAAGCGCTTTACCCGAGGAGCCTCTTCTCGCAAGCAGCTGTTATTGTTGCCTATGATGGCCGGAACGGGGTCAAAAGTTCGTGTCTTGGCCTGTTATATCCCCCGCTAATTCAACCACACTCGCATTCAGACACACTAACACACACTCAAAGCAGAACAGAGAAACAGAGTAAGGAAAAAGGAGAGGAGAAGTGTTCCTCAAGTGCAGGCAAAGACAGAGCGTCGCCCCGTCTGGCAGACAAAGAATTAGACAAGTGCCGGTCCAGGCAACCCACACCCCACACACACACCCCCCGAAAGCCGAGACAAACTAGGCCAATACGCGAGAAAGCAGCCTAAACCAGGGGAGGAGCTGAAGTGCAAGACCCAAGAGCAGGGGGAGGAGCAGAAGAAGAGCAGCCAAAGACCAGAGCCAGAGCCTAAGACTTTGCAGAACAGAACATAACAGAACAGAGGAGAAGCATTCCAAAACTCAACCGGCGAAAGAGCAGAAGAGGAGGAGGAGGAGGAGGCGGAGTACCAGTGTACCCCGCAAAAAACACACTGCAACACACATACAACTACAAAATATAATAAAGACAAAAGTGAAAAGTTCTCTAGCTCTCTGGCCATTTGTCAATGACTGTGACTGTGACTGTGTGTGGAGTGACTTCTCGCGTGACTTCCATCCGACATACAATGCCCGTATCCGTATCCGTGTCGTGTCCCGTGTCTGTGTCTGCGGCGGGCAAGCACCACGCGGAAGTGGAATAACTGCTGAAACAGACTCCCAGGACACGGACTACTCCAAAAGAGGACCACTCGCGCTGTAAGTCAATATTAGAAGAATGATATACACTTTGTTTTTTACCATGATTGTATGCCACCCCTTTTGGCAGAAGGGTATTATGATATTTTTGAGCTGTTTTGGCCACGTAGAGAGTTCACGAACCTTTCATCCGGTTGTGTCTGTCATAGAAGATGATATGATGTCATGATAATATACTCTTGGGGGGTGTCATCGTGTCATCCCCGCTCGATTGACAGGGGGGATTCATTCATATTTACTTGCAAAGACCCCTGCGAGGAACCCCTCCATCTGTGCTGGCCAACTTCAAAAGGCATCTTCACTATGTAGATGGTGTAATGACATTTTGTCAGCAGGATTATGCCAAATGCTGGCCTCCTCTCATCAGCAGCACCATCGCCATTCGCCATTCATAACCATCGTTCGCATTATCATCATCATCATCGTCGTCGCAAGGATCATGATTGTCTTTGTCACTGTCAACGCGTCTTGCAACTGTCAGAGGCAGAAGCACAAGGAGGAGGTGGAGTAGAAGGGGGAGGAGCAACAGCAGCAGCAGCAGCTATGTCCACCCACCGAATTCCTTCGTCTCCTGGCACTCGCATCATTTTTAAGCAAACATTTGCTGCTGTTGCCTCGCTCTTTCTTGCTTTTTGCTGTTGTTTTTACGAGTACGAAGTATATCCCGGAACTCGTAGAGCGGAAGGTCGTGTTGGTTTTGTGCAGATGTTTGCTACAGTCGGAAGGAAGGAGATTTTGAGATGATCCCTACCTTGCTCATGAGAGATTTAGATACTCTGAATATCTATAAACAGCTTGGGGTGTCAACAATGTCAAATGTTGAGTTATTTATTTTAGAATTTGCCATCGAAATGCTAAAAATCATCTCAATGGGAGAATTATTACAGCCAGAATCAAGACAAGTGCCTTATTCCCCCATCATTTTCTTCTGTTTCCCTCAGCAATTTATCATCTTATTTTGATGATAAAAATAGTTAAGATATTTCTTAACTGGTTATATTTGTAACAATTAATTTTCGGATTATAAGTGAGCTCTAAGAACTCGTAAACTCGAAGTCAAAGTAGCGGGGTATCTTCAAGTCGGATTAATTTGCAATGCAATGCCGTTTCTCATTCTCTTTTTCCTTTATTTTGTTGGCTCTTGTCAAGTGTTTACTACTTTTCCTCCGCTTTTGTTGCTTCTGTTAAGGCTACGTGTTGGCTCAGAAGATGTCAACAACTTTTTTGTTTCGAGAAGAATTGCAAGGGAGCGGTGGAGCGGTGGCAGAACCCGTCGCACATTTACGCTTGTCTGTTGTTTTCCTTCTGATGAAATGTGCAATTTGATTAATTCTCAGCTCCATTTTCTTTAATTTTTTCTGTGTACAATATTTTTGTTGTCATTGCATAAGCGACAGGCCAGGCGACAAGACAGGCGGGGTGCAGCCCCCTGCAGCTGTCAAAAGGGCTCCTTAGCAATGGGCTACGTGGAATTTCCGCTGGCATTTCCGTTTCCGCTGGCAAAAAGTGATTGATGGCCCCGGAATCGCACTACTAATTAAAGTTATTTAGCGATTCGTCCATCGGCCATTGCAATTTTTCATTCTCACTCGCCTTCTGTCGCTTTATCGTTCTGACGATGGTTCTGTCGTTAGCTGGGCTGTGGCTGTGGTTCTCCGGCTCTCTGGATCCAAGTGTTTATGGCTTCAATTCAATTAAACAACTGGGTCAGTGTTGTGGTCGCATTGGCTTCCCCATCCGCAGCTGGATCCGCATCCTAGAGCTTCAGGAATGGAAGCTGTTTTCAGCAGAGTAATTAATTTTCTGCATAGGCCATCGGAGTAGGAGAGCAGGAGGACAGAAAGGACAGCAGGATAGAGGATGGATATGCATCATAAGCAAAGAGCGAAGCGCAACATTTCCCTTTTCAAATTGCATTTATAATTTATTTTCTTGAAATTAAATAACTCTTAAACGAGACGAGAAAAAATCTCTCCCGCGAAAGGGAGAGGGCAGAGAGAAGTCACAGAGGCAGCAAAATGCAGAGGATAATGCCAGGAAAATGACAGAATGCAAAAGCCTTTTTCATGAATAAAGCGGAAAAACACAGTCCTTTTTCCACATTGTGAATATTATATTTATTAAATCGCATCTCTCAATGGAAGGATTGAATGCGGATTTCACTTCTTTGATTAAGTTTCTCTCTCGCTGACATATTTATTACATTCCGATTGCACGCTGCAAACACACACACACTTTGTTCTGTCCGAAAGCTACAGAAGTATGCATATGCTCAAGTAAATAATGCAAGCAGAGATCATTCCCCCTTATGGCTTCTCTCTTCCAGAAGCAGAAACCACAGCAGCAGACACGAACCCGCACGTGTCCGCAACTATTTCAACAAACTCAAAAGTTTCGCATACTGTTCGCACACACTGTTTCCCTGAGAAGTTATTTACATACATTTCCATGAACATTTTTCCGCACGCAGACAAAAGTTATTAACGAGTGGGAATTTATAATCTGGACGCATGCCACACGATTGGCTTCAGCCAGGGGTGTTGCTGGAATGTGTGTGTGGTGGAGTTTTCAATCGAAAATTGGTTGTTAATTAAAGGTGAATGCTGTTGGATGTCCTTAAAGGGAACGCGCTCTTTAAACGTACTCAAATTCTTGCACTTCCTTTGCTGCCAGATTTTCTGGGCACACATTTTCCGTAGCATATGCCTCATTAATTTCCATCCAATCACAGTCCCATTTCAATTTATAAGCTCTCTTATCTGTATATCAGGCAAAATCAGAGGAGAACCCCCACAAAAAACTATCCCCAAATGGCATTTATTTATTTGCCGCTTCCGACATGCTCTCGTGCGTACCGTCACCTCCTGCTCCCGCGTCCTGCGGCTGTTGCCCCATTAAATATGATTTTTTATGACCCTGCCCCAACGAAAAAAAAATGGCTGCCAAAAGATCCCCAAAATAAGGCGTCACATAATTTCGCCCGCAATGAATTGGAAGTTTAAGTTTTAGTATTTATCTCTCATCGATTTAAATGTCAGCCGGGAATATTGTACAGGATATATATCCTGAGGGACTGAGTCAAGTGCGAGAAACTTTCTCTGGGTCTGTGGATGGGCGGGGGGCAAAACTTTTCTCGGCCAAAAGTTGATCAATGAAATTAAAAAGATTTATGATTCCCCGACCCTGAGCGTAAGTTTACCAATGAATGAATCCCCTATACGGTGTCCCGAAATCTAAATCTTTGCAAAACAATCAGCGACGGGCGGCTGATGCCTGCTGGGAGAGTGAAAGTTTTCGGGGGGCATCCCCGCTGGGGGGTCCTCGGGTATTATTATTTTGAATTGCATCTCATTTTGGGTTAATGGACAGAGTCCGAAACCCAGGACTCAGGTTTTTGAGAATTTGAGCAATAAAATAAAAGGGAAACTGAAAGCGAAATGAAACTTATAATAATCATCATCAAAAAAAAAAACCAAACAACACACACACAGACAAAGACCATTACATTACGTTCTATTACGATCGTTGGGACCTGACACCCGGAAAGCCATAGAATTAGACAATAGAAAATAGAAAAGAAGAAATTATGTTAATTTCAAGTGAAATCTCAATAGCTGAGGGTCGCTGCCACACTCTCAAGTGTCGCCGAGTCTGTGAAAAGGTCGAGTCGAGTAGGGGGTAGAGGGCTCAACAAAAGGGTAACCTAACCCCTGCAGGACACAACCTCAGCCCTCATTGGCTTGCCTTCGACTCGTGACTTACCGCCTAAAGAAACTCAGTTGTTGGCCAACAAAAGCCCAGGCCCAGGCCCTGGCCTCTATTGTGCCTCTGAACTTTGGGTCACAATTAAGGCTCCGTCACGCTAATTTTTGATGCTGTGTCAATGTTGCGATGCAGCAGCCACGCCAACGCCCACGCCAACGCCCACGCCATCCCATATTTATGGGCCAGTTTACAGATTCTGTTTGCCTCCTCTCTGATCCTTTAAATTAAATTTAAGCAGAAGAAGGCGTTGCCCTGAGGCGACAGGAACAGGGTGCCAGACGTTTCTTTAATACACTCTTACACCAAAATTCACACCCACCCAGCCACACGGATAGCAAAAAAGTGACACAAAAAAGATGTAACGAGTGGAAAGGGTACAGGGAAAGGCATAGGAGATGTGGCAAATGGGAGGCTGAGGTGAAAAAAATAAACACGCAACTCGAACAAAAACAAGCAGAGAGCTTTGGTTATCGCCACCGTTACAGGTACCTCTACTACACTGCGAGAAATTCAGAAGAAAAAGGCAAGAAAATACGTTCGTAGTGCGCGCCTCCAACAAGAAGATATATATGAATTAAATATATTTTTAGGGATCCTTTTCTCAAAGTTTATTTTCTTAAAGTGTACAAAAATCTGTGAAAGAAATCTTTCCATCTGACATCCCATTAAATTCTGGTTTTTTTCCTGGAAGCGCTGCCATGTCTGAATCAATAATTTGTTTTTCAGGATTATCCTTATCTTTTATACTGTTTTCGTACCCAGATATTCTTGCCGTGCACTGTCTCTAGGCGGCTCTCGCTCACCTATGCGATGTAGGGGAAAGGGTCTCTTTTTCTGTCTCTGGCCATTACATGACCCGCACATCGCATCCTATCAAGCGGCGGGTGTCGTTTGCCTTTTGGCAGCAGCAGCATCAGCATCAGCAGGTCCAAAACCCTCTTCTTGGCCAGCGACAGAGAGATTGAGAGAGGGAAGTGTAAACAACGTAAATGGAAATGGCGTTGAGGAGGGAAGCAGCAGCGGCAGCCAGGACTAAAAAAATTGCCACATTGAAACCTTTTTTCCTTTTTGGCGCTCCTTTTATTCAGTTTTCCACAGCCTCCTGTTTTGCAGTCTCCAGTCTCCCGTCTCGTGGTTCCATCCTGTTTCTATTCCTTATTCGATGGCTTTTAAACAACAACTAGGATGGGGCTTCTGCTGCTGCTGCTGTGCTTCCCACCTCCTACCTCCTGCCG